ATCCACACAAACAATCTTCCTAAGGACCAAACACACTAGTGCACAACAATCCACTGAGATTAGGGGAATAGAATTTTAGAATTTCTTTAACGCAAATTTAGCTGAGAACTGACTACAGATACTCCTTTGGTTGGCTGAACAAGAACGATTTTGCCAATGTGGCAATGTTCCAGACTCCACAAGCCACTAGCACATACCACTTCAACAAGCATATGAGTAATACAATGTGGCATAATAGTTGCTGGCCTACACAAACTAAAAACCGCAAGCCTCACAAAGCAATAGGCAATAATGTGTGATGATAAAAGCAAAATGCAGCAACAAACTTACGAGTTGTCTTGCCACTTCCGGTCTCGCCGACAACGATCAACGTGTCATTCTTCCTCACCTCTTCAATAAGCCTCTTCTCCACTGCACCATCATCAGCAACAAATTTAACTCATGTAAAACTTAACTAAACAACCCCAAAATCACAGCCCAAAACCCCATATGCTCCGACTAACCTGAGGCGATGGGGAGCGACTTCCTCTGCTGCCGAATCAGCTGCCTCCTCCTGCCCACCACCCGTACCAGTCAAAACACCCACGCAAACGAACTAGAGCGAGAGAGAAACGAAGCCGCGGGGAGGCAGGCTGCGGGCGAGGGGTGTGTGCGCGCACCTGGCGTTGTGCTGCTGCTTCTGCGGAGAAGCGCCGGAGGAAGGGAACGACGGCATGTCGGACGCCGCGGCGGCGGAGTCCCGAGCTCTCCTGAATCCCGCCACGGTGGCCGCCGGTCGGTCGCTGGCTAGCCGGAGCCCCGAGGCCCCCTCTTTGCGCCGGAGTGCTTTCGCTTCGGCCTGGAGGTCGGGACTAGGGCTCGAGTACGAACTACTTCGCCGCAGCCGCCGCTTCACCTCGTACCGTGCTCCCCCACGGCCGTGGTGGTCGCTCCCTCGTCGGCTCGCCGCCGCTCGATGGGTCTCGCCGCCGCCACGCGCCGCCGTCTTGCCGTCGCGCTCGTGGAGTGACGGTGGCGAAGGGAATATGGGGAAAGAGCTATATGGGCCATTGGTGGAATGGCCGCCTGATGGGCTGTATGGGCCGAAAAGATAAAATTGTTTGGTCCATAGATTTCGAAAGTAAGAAGTCTACTTGGAGCCCTCAATTATGGATCGAGTTTCATTTGAATCTCTCAATAGCAAAACTGGATATTGGGTATTCCCTGACTATCAAAATTAGTGCAAATTGAATCCCTCAACGGTTTTGACTAATATGACGTTCATATGGCGGGGTTGATTTGGACTTCATCTTATGCGACGCATACACGGTGTTACAGTCAGCCTCCCCAATGCTCTCTCTCCTCTCTACCCTCTACTTTGGACTCGTATGTAGGCACCAGCGCCGGTGAGAAGGTCGGAGGACACAACCATCACTGGTGATGTGGGCCGATGGTGGCGCGTGGAGGAAGTCTAAGAGGCCACCACCCTCCCTCGCTTTGAACCCCATCTCCCTAGGATTGAAAATTCCAAGCCACCGTCTCAAGCTCAAGAAACCATTGAGTGAAGAGAGAGAAGAGGGGGAGAGAGATGGAGAAAAGAGGAGAGAGGGTAGGGTGAAGGAAGAGAGATGAAGAAGAGAGGAGAGAGGGTAGGCTGAAGGAAGAGTACAGTTCAACCCATGACATGCATGTGGGTCCCACCTTTTTTTTTTTACTATAAGTGCCACGTTGATGCCACATAGGATGATGACTTAGTCAACATGCCATGTGAGCGCCATGTAAGATAAAACAGCTGAGGGATTCGATTTGCACTCATTTTGATAGTTTAGGCACGTTATATACTTGTTTTGCAGTTGAGGCACACGAATGAAACTTGACCCATAGTGAAAAAGGAATGTAAAGTGGACTTTTTCTATTTCAAAATTTGCAAACTAAAAGCCCATTAGGGCCCGGCGGGATGTAGGAATTTTATACATGAATTAATTCATTTCCTATGATTAAAATGTAAGTAGATCTAATATACAACTCTTATATCATACTCCCTTTATTTCATATTGTAATTAGTTTGATTTTTGTTTAGCTAAAGTTATTTAAGTTTGATCAAGTTTACAGAAAAAAATAGCAACATCACAACATCTACAACACTAAATTAGTTTCATTAAATTTAATATTGAATATATGTTGATAACATGCTTGTTTTGTATTGAAAATATTACTATATTTCTCTACAAACTTGATCAAACTTAAAAGAAGTTTGGCTAAGAAAAAAATCAAACAACTTATAATATGAAACGGAGGGAGTATTTATATAAGTACAATTATGGTCAAACTTGGGAATTCATAAGTCTCTAGAGCGAATATTGTGACTTTTCTCGAGTTGTCTTAATAATATAGAGGAACAGATAGATGGATCTATGACATTAGGGTGGGGTTTTAAGTAGTTTTCTTATTTTTAATTAAGATGTAATTTTATAATTCACTCTTATTCATCCCGCAATTTGTAGCTTATCTAAAGTAAATATGGAATGAATTATATTATCTAAAAACAATAAATAAATAGATAGATCGACCTTCCAATATTTCTCTGTTTCAAAAGGCAGGTATAGTTTTTTTCCCCCAATAATGAGAATCAATCAACCTCTAAATTCACTATGTATCCAGCCAATTAGCAGATTAACTAGCACCCAAGAAAAAGTGACATTATTCACATCAGATGAGATCAATTAGATACACACACACATGTGTGCAATGCCCTTAAGTATTTTACAACAAGTATAAAATCCACCCACAAAAATATCATGGAGTGAAGATAATGGGTTATAATCAATTATTCATGTTTGTTAGAAAAAAGTGCGTAGTACATGGTTTTTGACCCAATATTAGACTTTGTCTAATTTGTTTGCAAATAATAATCTATGTAGTTTTAGATGACACTAAATAGTACACAGTGTTACTTTACAATATACTCCCTCCATCCCAAAAATAATCAAATCATAGCTATGAACCTGGATAAATGCTTGTCCAGATTCATAGCTAGGATTTGAGTTTTTTAGACAGAGGGAGGATAAAAGTATAGTTATGAAATCTTCCAGTATAACTAACGACAGTTGTTACAACTTACAACATTCTTAGGGCAAGAGGCGCAAATAAAAACAATTGTTAGGTAGCTTTTATTATAGTTTGATTTAAAGCATGTGCATTTGTGCGAATGATTAGCTTTCTAATCCTGCATTATGTGTCACTACGCACAGTTAAGAAACGAATTCTTTCACCTGTTCAAAGTTCACCAAAGGGAATATGCGAATTTGAACTTAATATATCTTACTAGTTTTTTTTTCGGCAGACAATAATACTTGATTTCACAATATATGAAATCCTCCAAGTTGATCAGCCTAATTTGTTTACGAGTTGACGCACAAGCCATGATGAGTGGCCTCCCACCTACCTGATCATCAAGAATTCAAGCTTATGAACAAGTAAACCATTGATCAAACGGTTGGCCGAATCGTGTACCAGTGGTTTTCCTCAGTTGAAAAATTCAGTTAACTATTCAGTGTCCCTAAACAAATTCAGATTCAGCAATCACACACTGGGCCATGTGTGCAGCTTGCGTGGTCAAAACGAAGGCTGAGATTCTCATCTCAGTCGGTTGAGATGTTAGCCTCTACGAAATGCAAAATAACCAGATGCATGATTGATTTAGGGCGGAGATAAAAACGATTTAAGTCTTAAGGTTTTTTTAATCATATCTTTTTGCTGGAGCGTTGATCTTTGGGTGTTTTTTAAGATGAATCTTTGGCTGTTCAGCTTCGGCAACAGCGACAGGATGTTCAGAGTAAGCAGATGGTTCTATTAGTTAGGCTGGTGAAGTGATGAGTTGTAGTTCACAATAATGGTGAGTTCAAAACTTCGATCAAGATAAAATTGAAAAAAAAACGAGATTTGGAGGGAGAGACATCCCTCCAAACATTTTTTAAGAAAAAATTGTGAGCGTGTTAGGGATTAAACACAGGACTTCGGGATTGAAACCACACATTTCTTGTCACTGCACTATCAAATGCATCTCGAGCAAGAGAAAATTGAGCTATCCTAATCTCAATGGACTGATAAGGTTACTGTTTGGATTTGAGAGCTTCTCGTACCTTGTTCTTCAGAAGTTCAGAAATGACAAGCCTCTCCCCCTCCGAAGTTCTGAACCATTTTAGAGGCTATGTAATGTCAGATAAAATGGTTCAGACCTCTCACGGCCTTCGCTGGTTCATCATCAGCTTTCAGAACCTCTAAAATGGCACTTTTTGCTGGATACCATGCATGTACTCAACGTCTATGTAATGTCTGCAAATTAATCAAAGCTTATTTAAGAACCTGTTACACTAATCAGACATCAAACTGGCATACTGGCATATTTCTTTCTTTCTTTCTTTTTGAAAAAAAAACAAATTGGGCATAGGTTGGAGCAATTATCAGACAATGCTGACGCACAAGAATTCTTTTTTTCTCTCAAAATCTTTTGGATGTGGGTAGCGCATATCCATCGTGCAGGTAAAATTTACCATCAAATTTTATTTTTTCTGCAAGTTATACAAAGAAAAGTTCCATATGGACAGTGTTTTTTCACTGTCCTTGACTAATCCACTTTTATCTTGAAATATTACATCAGCAATCTAGAAAACTTTTGCATACAAGTTTTTTTTTTTGGAATATTTTACATATAAGTTCAGATGTCACAACCATGACATTGAGATTGAGTCCAGTAAAATATGCACACATTATTTTTAAGAAGCTACAACTAATTACTAGAGAAGCTCCATAGTGAACGACTCCGTATTACAAAATCACAGCTGGATTAAAAACAAGAAAAACTACTCAGAGTACCAGCCTAAAGACAGAGATAACACATTGCTAAACCTCCATGTACAGTCCAACAAAATATACCCTTAACAATGTTGATACTCTCAACATGTTGATTAATTACTCACTAGTATATATAATCCCCAACGCCAATAACATTCCCCAGTGACAGATCAAAGAATTGCACCAGTGCCACTGCCACCTAGCTCACCCTGTCATTTTCAAATTGAAAAATTATAAACTCAAAATCAATCAAAGAGTGCGTCAAACTGCTACGCGTGATTCTTAATTCTTCTTGCTCTTTCTGAAGACCAAACTGCTTCTAATTCTTCTTCTTCTTCTCTTCATGGTATATATGCACGCGCCAACTCACCACCACATGCATATACACACGAGAAATCATCAAGAAGGAGAAGAAGGCTAGAGAAATCAAGAAGAGATCGATCGCCATTGGCGAGGTGGAGAGGAGCTCGCGGCAATGTCGTACCTGCAGAAGCCATCCTACTACACCATCTCGCTCGTCGTCGTCCTCCTCCTCCCGTTCACCATCCTCTTCGCGAGCTTCCTCCTCCCCTTCTCCGCTTACCTGCGCGGCCCGCCGCCGATCGCCGCCGGCTCCGTCGTGGCCGGCGGCTGCCGCCATGGCGCGGCAGACGGTGGCGGCGGCGGCGGCGGTGGTGGTGGTGTTCGTCCGGAGATCAGCATCCTCGTCGGCGTGCACACGATGGCCAAGAAGCACTCGCGGCGGCACCTGGTGCGCATGGCGTACGCGGTGCAGCAGACGGCGGCGCTCCGCGGCGCGGCGCGCGTGGACGTCCGGTTCGCGCTGTGCGCGCGGCCGATGCCGCAGGAGCACCGCGCGTTCGTGGCGCTGGAGGCCCGCGCCTACGGCGACGTGATGTTGATCGACTGCGACGAGAGCCCTGACAAGGGGAAGACGTACGACTACTTCGCCGGCCTGCCGGCGATGCTGTCCTCCGGCGGCGGCGGCGGCGGCGGTGGCGAGGGGCGGCCGTACGACTACGTGATGAAGGTGGACGACGACACGTACCTCCGGCTGGACGAGCTGGCGGAGACGCTCCGGCGAGCGCCGAGGGAGGACATGTACTACGGCGCCGGGCTGCCGTTCCTCGACAAGGAGTCGCCGCCGTTCATGCTCGGCATGGGCTACGTGCTGTCCTGGGATCTCGTCGAGTGGATCGCCGGCTCCGACATGGCCAAAGCGCTAGCCATAGGTACGCAAAGCAACTACTCCCTCCGTCAAAAAAAAAAAAACAACGTTTGAACTTCCGTCTTATTTGAAAAAATTATGAAATAAAATTAAAAAGACAAGTCACGCATAAAGTATTAATCATGTTTTATCATCTAACAAGAATGAAAATATTAATTATAAAAAATTTTTATATAAGACGGACAGTCAAACGTTGGTATACATACACGTGCATACGATTTCTTCGAATTTCTCACTTCGTCACGTATTCATCGTTGAAACACTTCTGTCCAAACTTCTTCTCTAACACCAAAAGCGCACATAGATTTGGCAAAAAAATACTTTTAATTATGATATACGTCGTCAAATAAATTTGACCGGAGGGAGTCGCAATTTTTCGCTAATATGTAGTACATTCATACAGAAAGTAAGCGTGTTCAAGACCAGGTCGATTTTCAAAACATCACATGTCTTTCAACACATGGAGCAGTGTTTAAAAAATAAAGAGAACAACCTATAACATGGTATCACAGTTCACTATCCTTATTGAAAAAAAAACTAGGATCTAGCATTAGTTGCATTACTACCCTTAATGGAACCTATATATATATATATATATATATATATATATATATATATATATATATATATATATATATATATATATATATATATATAGACACACACACACTTTTTTAGATCATGATATATAGGTTTTTTTAAATAAAACACCAATATGCCAATTTCATTGAATAGAGCGATACTCCTCCATCCCATAAAAAAAACTAACCTAATCTCGACATACATTTGTCTAGATTCGTTATACTGAAATACGTCATAGTTCTAGATTCGTTTTTATAGGACAGAGAGAGTAGTAAAATCATACAAATGTAAACCTATAAGGGGACAGAAAAGAAAAGGCTAAGCTATGGTAATAGGTCATAGTCTTTTTTGCTCCCGACCATGATATACAATGGGTTACATATTCCTAATTACTTTGTCAAATTACACCAGGTGCAGAAGATGTGACAACAGGGACATGGCTGAACATGGGCAACAAGGCCAAGAATAGGGTGAACATTTTCCCTAGGATGTATGACTTCAAGGGTGTCAAGCCAGAGGACTTCTTGGAGGACACTATTGGTGTGCACCAGCTAAAGCAAGACCTGAGATGGGCACAAACCTTGGAGCACTTCAATGTCACCTGCCTTGATCCCTCCAGCAAGATGACCAACTCACTACTCTCCTAGCTACTGGCAGCCATCTAGTTAGCTCTTCTAGAATCATCCGTGTAATTAATCAAGATTAGTCTGTAAATCAAACCCGTAATTAATTGTTCATAAGTTTTCTCTGTGGTGAATTTCAGATGGAATTTGTTTATACAACGGTTGTTGGTGTGCTGCTTTGGAGCAGATTGTTAACTTGAGCCGTAATTAAGCTATGGAAATCTCTGAGAAATTTTATATGCATCACTGCATCAGTGATGTGTGCTTGCAAAAGATGCCTGGAAAATGATGTTTTGCATCAGTGACGTTTATATTTTAGCCAGTCGTTTTCCAGGCTGGGGCAATGCGTGAGAAGAATTTCTGTATCGAACAAAACATCATTTTCTTCACATTAATTAAACTGCAGTTTGAATTATTCTTTGTACCTCGAACTAGTTAAGAGTTTTTCCCCGAAAAAAAAAGAAAAGAACTAGTTAAGAGTTTAAACGGGACGTGACGAAAAATATTAACACCATGTGTGTGATCGATGGATAGTTGTATGCCCAAAGACCGGACTTTTTACCGTGTCAAAGTGATAGGTAATTAGTGACTAAGGTACCGCGTTAAACGAAAATACCGAAAATACAAAGAAAAGAAAAACCTCCCTGGTCCCACAACTGTTTCATTTCACTTAAATTAGGCTTGTTTCGAACATAGATTTTTTAAATTAAAAATTCAAGTGATTTTTTTAAAAGTACGACAAAAAATGTTTCAACTACTTTCAAAATAGAACTTCTAAGGTTTAAACTTTGTTCCATGATATAAAGATTTCTAGAATTATATTACTTATCCCATTAACCACTTCCTGTTAGATTTTTTTCCCATCTTACCCTCGCATATCCACTCATACTCATCTATTCCTCGTTAATCGAGTGGCAATAAAAACTTTTTTATCAACCTTAATCTCTACTAAATAATCTAAAAATGTTTATATTTTGGAATAGGTGTAGTACAACAAAAGGGTGATAAAAAGACTAGAAATGCTTTCTGGAGTTGTTTGGTTCTTCTTAGGTTATTTGATCTCTTCCCTTTCTAGTTTTTAAAACTTCTCTTTCTACTTCTTGAAATTGAATCAAATGGCTTTCAAAGCTGACCAGCCATTTTTGTCCCTTCTACGCTGGGCTGCAAATAAATGTGGATGCAATTATAGGCCCACAAAGCCGATCAGCCTTCCCTCTGAAACCAGCCCATTACAGTACATATATACCGGCCTAAAAATGTGGATGTCATGTATTTCTGAACGCACATTTAAGATACCGGGAGGATATAGTATAAAACTTGATATCTTCAGGTACTAAGTAATTTTAAGTATTATTTTTTTAAAAAAATTTGATATCTCGAGATGCTTTTCAAGAACCGTGAAATTTCTTATTTATGAACAGAGTTGTTATGTATATTCATCCAAACATTATGGTTTGGCTTTACTAATACCGCGACATTATGGTTTGGCTTCAGCAATTAATGCAGGTTTGGTTCAAGTAGGAGCTGAAAGCGCCACATTATGGTGAATCTATGTTGTGTTGACAACTTGGACTGTACATGCGTATTGAGAACCTGCAAAAGTATTTCCAAAATTTTAGTATTTGTTACATCGGCAATAAGTGGTAATCTACTCGTCAGTTTATATCATACTAAGTCAGGTGAATAGTAACAAATTAAATTTCAGATTTTAGTATTTGTTCACCTGACATTTGTCATTTTTGTTTCCTTCAAATGAGGTTGAGTTTGGACTTAAAGATTTGATAAAAAGTATTTCATATCTACGCATTTTATGAAATTATAAAAGTTTTGGGTATGATTTTTACGAGTTTTCAAACATTTAAATTGTTTTCACGAGATATTTCTCTAAACTTATAGGGAATAACAGACACAATAATAACAAATAGAGAGTGACTATTTGCAAATCTTCGAACGATGTTGCATTATATGTTGAAAAATGTTGCAATGTTTCGTTGCTAAAAAAAAATGTTTCAACATGAATTGTTTCTTGATGTTTTATCTTTCCCTGAAGAATGTTTCACCGCTTTATCGAAAATGTTTCAATCGAATGCAACACTCAAGAACACTGACTGCAACAGCAAAACACATTATGTGCAACATCCAAAGAAATCAAATGCAACATCCAGTACTGATTTAAGAAACATTTAGAAAAGACAGATTGCAACATCACAAGAACACTGTGCAACAAAATAACATGTGGTGTGCAACAATCCTCCAGACCATCTCGGGCCTGAGGAAGACGGTCTTGCCGAGCACGATGACGGATCCGGACTCGTCGAGCGCACACGTGACGGAGGCGCCGGACTCCGCGCCGGAGGCGTCACAGCAGAGCCGGAGGAACTCGGCATATGGCACGGTGCCCGTGCCCGACGCCTCGCCCGCGCTGTCTCCATCTGTGTCGCCCGCAACACCTTCTTCGCCTCCTCCACCGTCAGCCCCGCCACCAGCGACGGCGACGGCCGCTCCTCCCTCACCACCAGCGGATGCGGCTGCGGCGCTGGGGGAACGAGGCTGTCGAGGTCGATGCGCGGGAACGCGGCGCTGAGGTCGCGGATCCAGTCGGCGAGGGGGATGAACCCGCGTCGATCGGGCGGCACCAGCACCACCACCGCGCTCCTCTGCTCCGGCATCGCCACCTCCTCGTCGCTTGCTAGCACAGGCATGGGGAGAGAAGAGAGGAAAACGAATGGTTGGAAATGAGGATAAAGTTAGCTGGATAAAGAAGATGAGAGAGCAGTTATGTGGGACCGGGACACACTAGGTCAGCGTCCGATTTTTATCGCCGGACATACGAGTTAAAGCATTATTGTATTTCATATCTACACATTTCATGAAATTATAAAACTTTTGGGGTATGCATTTTACGAGTTTTCAAACATTTAAATTGTTTTCACAAGATATTTCTCCAAATTTATAGGGAGTAACAGACACAATAATAACAAATAGAGAGTGACTATTTAAACGGTGACAACCCGAGGTAATAGTTTGGTGATGTAACTAGAAAGGCAAAATTTGCTACAGGACACGCAAAAAACGCGTAATTAGCTGGGGATACCGAGAAAACATGAAACTGCCCGAGGGCACTGCAAAAATTGTGTAATTGGCCATAGGACACTGGTCGTATTATTTTATTATTTCCGGGTTAAAAGAGGTGAGATACTTTTCTAAATGCCCGGATTGCCCCTTCTCTTTCCTTCTTTCCCCTTCCCGTTGACTTCACCGGGAACGCGCGATGCGGCGAGGTCGGCCCGACGTGGGCGGTCGACGGGGGGAAGCGCCGGCGTGCGGTGGCTAGGCGCATCCCCTTCCCCTCTTCCTCTCTCTCTCTCTTCACTCTCTCTCTATATCTCTCTCACGGGGCGCGCAAAGGCGGAAGGTAGGCGGCGGCGTGCACAGCTAGGTGCCATGCGGCGGTGCCGAGCGTTTGGTGGTGACGCCGTGCCCGTCCACCTCCCCATCGATTGGTTGGTTCTTAATGGCTTCCTCAAGCGGGAGAGGGGAGAGCACGGTGTCGGCGGTGGCGGGGAGGGAGGGGGGTGTCGTCAGCGGTGGCCGGTGCGGCGGTTGCGGATGCGGAAGCAGAGCCACCTCGATGACCTCACCTCACAGGTGGCACACCTCCGCCGCGACAACGCGCATGTCGCCGCCGCGCTCAGCCTCACCACCCAGGGCCTCCTCGTTGTCGACGCCGAGAATGCCGTCCTTCGCACCCAGGCCGCCGAGCTCGCCGCGCGCCTCGCCTCCCTCAACGACATCCTCTGCTCACATCGCCTCACCGCTGAAACTGCCATGGTAGAGACCAACAACAACAAGAAGAAAATATACTTGCCATTAGGGGCAATCTTGTCATTTCGTAAAAATACTCGCCACTTTCAGTCGGAAAATAATAAAATAATGCGTTCGGTGTCCTATGGCAAATTTCACATATTTTGTAGTGTCCTCGAGCAGTTTCACGTTTTCTCGGTGTACCTCAGCTAATTACGCCTTTTTCGCATGTACTATAGCAAATTTTGCCAACTAGAAAGAGCAATATAGTTGCTATATGAGCCTTGAACTTCGTAATAATATCACCAGTACAACAGAACACCGAAATCTCACCAAGAATTAAAAGCAAATTAATTAACAAACAGTACAGTTTTTCAAGGCACACCATCAAAGATCACGAATTCAGGATGCACAGATTATCTCGACGAACTTGGCGAAGTTCTTCCTGCAGCTTCCGTCGGGCTCGACGAACGCCGACGCCACCTTCGCCTGCAACTCCTGCGCCCGCGCCCTCATCCGGCGCCCGTCCTCCCCGCCGACGAGCGACGCCACCGCCGTGGCCACGCCGCCGCGCGTCATCGCCCCGTCGAACGCCGTCCCGAACCCCCACACGTGGGACACCGACCGCGCGTTCGTCCTCTGGTCGCCGAAGAAGGGGCGGCACGCCATGGGCACGCCGCTCGACGCGCCCTCCATCACCGACGCCCACCCGGCGTGCGTCACGAACGCGCCCACCGACGCGTGGCGCAGCACGCCCACCTGCGGCGCCCACGGGACGACGAGCCCCGCCGCGGCGTGCTGCTTGGTGCGCTCCAGGAAGCCAGGCGGGAGCAGCGGCCATGAGTCCTCCCTCAGGGACCAGAGGAACGGCGCGCCGCTGGCCTCGAGCCCCGCGGCGAGCTCGCGCAGCTCGTCCGGGCGCGGCGACGCGACGGTGCCGAAGCTGACGTACGCGACGGTGCGCGGCGCGTGGCGGTCGAGCCAGGCGAGGCAGCCGTTGGGGTCGTCGTCGTTGGCTGGCGCGGTGGCGAGGAGGTGGTAGGGGCCGAGCGGGAGGCAGGTCGGGAGGACGGCGGTGAGGGCGGCGGTGACGGTGGGTGGGTCGAGTCCCGGGAAGGTGTTGAGCGCGACGGCCGTGGCGGCGCGCGGCAAGCGCTGCGCCATGCGGTGTAGCAGGAGGTTGATGACGTAGTTGAGGTCGCCCGAGACGACGCCGTCGGGGAGGTCGCGGATCCGGTAGCTCTCGAGGCCGGGATGCGAGGTGAGCAGCTCGTCGGCGCGGCTCGCGGCTGGACGTGAAGTCACATCAACTCAATCGCAAAAAAAAAACCCACACCCAACTCCGGCGAGAAATGCGCGTACCCTCGTCGCCGACGTCGTCGCGGAGCGCGTCGGTGCGGAGGTGCGCGACGAGCGCGCTGGACGCGCCCGTCCACACCGGCACCCACCTGGCCCCAACCTTCGCCGCCGCGTCCGCCGCCATCCACACGAACGCGTCCCCGACCACGCAGCTCACCGCGACACCCCCCGCCGCGGCGCGCGCCGCCTCGAGCCCGGCCTCCACGACCCCGCCGGCCTCCGCGGCCTCCATGAACACCGCCATCCGCCGCGGCGGCGGCGCGTCGGGCGGCGGCGCCCCGTCGGCGACCTCCACGAACCTCATGTTCCCCGGGAGGAGGTCCCCCGCCGCGGCGGTCTTCCGCAGGTGCGCGAAGGAGGCGGCGGTGGAGAGGAAGGAGAAGGTGGACGCGGGCGAGGCGGCCGCGAGCGCCCGCGCGAAGGAGAGGAGCACGGCGGCGTGGGAGCTGAAGGGGAAGGTGACCACGGCGACGTGCGCCATCGCCGGAGTGCGTGTGTGTGTGGCGGCGGGTGTGCGGGCTGGGGTTGCGGGGGACGCGGAATTTATACGGCGGTGGCGCTGGGCACGTGGGGGGGAGTTGTTGCATCGGCGCGGCGCGTGGGTGGGTAGATATGATTGGGCGGGTTGGGCCTGGAAATTGTGACATTGGGCCTGTTTAGATCCATTTGGAATAACAAATGGTAAAAGTTTTGGTGGCAAAAGTTTTACAATTGCAAAATACTAGTTGGTGTTTAGATGCATGTTAAAGTTTTGCCATTTTAGCACTAAAGTGAGAGAGAGAAAGAGAGAGGGAGTGATCCCAAAGCACTTTTTGGCACAATTTGCTACTATGGATTAGCAAATGCCAAATGCCAAACTGCCAACTTTTGCTACTAGTGTTTGGATCTAAAATGGCAAAAAGTGCTACAAAATAGCAAAACTTTTACCATTTTGAAAGATCTAAACAGCGTCATTATTGGTGGACTTGGCGAGTAGGATGTACACACGTACGAATTTTAGGCAAGACGTAGCTCGTGCAGTCGTGCTCGTCCTCGGCTGCCCTTTTTCTCTAGTCAGTTATCCATCTTCCCTCATCAACGGGTGTGCTTAGTTCACATCAAAATTGAAAGTTTGGTAAAAATTGAAATAATGTGATAGAAAAGTTGGAAATTTGTGTGTGTACGAAAGTTTTGATGTGATGGAAAAGTTGAAAGTTTGAAGAAATAGTTTGGAACTAAACTCGGCCCAACTTAAGCTTTCAGATCGACTTGACTGATGCATATAACTCAATATAATATTAGAGCCAAAGGGTACATGTACATAGCTCGTGCAGTTATACTCGTCCTCGGCTGCCTATTTTTCTCGTAGTGATTTTGCCTTCTGCTCGCTTTTTTGCATATACCGTACTGCTGTACATCAGTCGATTCATATTTTCCCTTTCCCCAATCTCAGTTGACTGAATGAATTCCGTTGGTTTTAAATCGAACAACCAAGTAATTGTTTTTAACCTCCAGCTGAATGAGTGTGAGAGATGAGCAGGATGGTATGGAGGACTAACTAGGGGGTGTAATTTCCTCGTTAGGGGTAGGGACCCGGCGGGTACCCTACGGTGACAAGGGCAGAGTAGAAATTTTACCCCACGTATTTGCCAGGGTAAGGCCGTAACTATTTTCACGGGTGGGGGCGGGGGAGGAAAGTGACTCGTGAATGACTCGGCAACCACCCCGAAGTGACAAGAAACAACATTCACCTTGATCTTTAGTCCAGGACCCATTAATAACCCATATGCCTTGTATTCCTCCATAAAACCTATGTTACAAAAACAATCAATATTGTTATAGCTCCCATTAAAGGTAGTGGCGTATGTGGAGTCCTCTTTATAGCTCCTGAGATACTGACGCAATTGATTACCTCCCATACGTAGCTATGCCGGATGACCTTGATATCCTCTTTGGCACTCCCTCTAGTTGGATGCGACAACTGCGAGTACTCATGTATTGCTCCCGCTTTGACCTCCTCGCCAGTAAAGCGACGCACAAACAACTTCCTTCAATCCAGCGAGGCGGCAATTAAAACTCTTCCAACATGACAACCAACCTTAACCTCCTCCTTATGGACATGCCGACAGCTGAGGTTCAATATTCTCTCCCTTCAATCCAGTGAGGTGACGATCAGCCCTCCTCCGACATATCTTTCAGCTTTGACCTCCTTCATTTTTGTTTCTGGTGTCTCCTCTTTCTTCTCATTGATGACCCTGGATGGGATAGGGGACCTAACTCCTTCCTAATTCTAGGAGTAGCCAACGATGATAGGATGGCTTCCTCAGAGAGCCCACGATGCCGGTAGCACGCAAACCTTAGTAAGCTTCGCGGGATTTGGTTTTGGGCTAATGAGTGTTAGGAGGGGAGTAGAGAGAGATGAGAGCAGCTTTAGATGGAGGGCCATGTGGTGGAAATGGGTGGGCGCGAGGTGGCATCAACGCCAACGGAGGTTGCTGGAACAAGAGCGGCCATGTGATTAGGAGATGATGGGCAACATCGGTGGATCTGGCGTCTCGCTCAATCGAAGACTGGGAAGGAGAGGTTGGTCGGGGATAAAGCTTCGGAGTTTGAACATAGCCACATAGGTGACGATAACATCATGAAGAAAGATAAGAGGGAAAACTAAAAAAGGTTGTGACTGGTGGGGCTCGTCATCGTGAGGATGGAGGTGGTGCTAAGAGTGGCAGAGCCGCGTACGTTTCATGCTCAACAACGCGAGTGGCAGCATTAAAATTGCTTATGTATGAAGTTTAAAACAATTTAAACTGTCCAAAAACTGACTTATAGATAATAGAAGAACAAAATGACCAGTTGATAAACCCTAATAATTTCATACTATTGGGAGTTGGGACCTTATCTTGCACGACCATCCATAGCAGTACGTGCAAGCACATGCCGCAAGAAAATGTTCCTCACGCTTAGAAATTTCTTCAAACAGATAAGGATATACGTGGCGATAGTTTTTTTTTTCTCTCGAGGGGATGTCTCTTCCTTTCATGTCTTGTATGTTATCCAAACAATATAAAAAAATGATAATGTAGATTAATACGTGAGTTCAATTTCGACCCTACGAGATATAAAGAAAAGGACTACTTTGACTGATATTTATTAGTTTGATCCCTCTTTTATCACCATGTATTGCCCTCTTTCTATCTTGTAAGCTAAAACAAGAAGGCCGGATTCATCGTTCACCCATAAAATTAGCCACGAGCACAAATGAACACACATGGCTAGACTAATCACCACCACATCCAAATATAGGCAACACTTAATAATAGAGGATAATAAAAGGGAGCAAAACAGGTTGGGTCTTGGCTTTCTCCCCTCTCTCTCTCCCTCTTGTCATTGCCTTCCTCCCCTTTAGGCAATGACAGAGTATAATTAAGCTGAACAAACAACATTGCTAGGAGCTTGGAAAAACCTAACAAAACCGGCGTATCCATTTTAGCTAATCTTTCTTTAATCTCCCCCCATTAGAGAGCACTTAGAAGATATAGGAGTCGGTTGGATAGCGAGAGAGAGAGAGAGAGTGAGAGATCCATGGAGAGGTATCACGACGGCAAAGACTTGGACACCTCCAGCTACCCGCTTGTCGCCGTCTGCATCGACAAGGACAAGAACAGCCAGAACGCCCTCAAGTGGGCCATCGACACACTTGTCCAAAAGGGCCAGATCATCGTGCTCGTCCATGTCAACACCAAAGGCACCTCAGGCAAGTCACTTAGATATATATATAGCTTACATATATATTTGTAGTACAATTAGTTTTAAGGAAGAATTGAGAAAGTTTTTTTCTCCTTTGGAGATATTCCTCGTTTCTTATTTTATCACATTAAGATAGTCACAAATTTGTTTCAGAAAGACCTAACAAGATGAATCGATACGTGATATATCGCTTCACGAATTCCATCAGAAAAATATATAACGAACATATGAGTTTAAATTTGACGCATACAAAGTTTTAAAATACTAATATGACTATTTAGAGCCTAATTTGCAATTTTTCCAAACCATAGGTCGAATTTAACTTACATACTGAAATAACTTTTTTTCAAAAAAAAATCATAACTATTTAGTGTATGTTGGTTCATGGCTCATGATATATGTTTTTCTTTAAAAAATATTCATAACTCACTTGATCAAATGTTTTAAATGTTGAACTTTAGCTGTTGGTCGGACGTCCGTATTAAAGCCAGGGTTCAAAATTCTGACTTTAGATCAAAATCTGCTCATGAGCAGTATCATTGGATTTCACATAATCTGTTGATAAACCTACCAAAACCGATGAAGTCCACATAAAATTTTTATCAAAAATTTAAAATTCAGTTTGCTTTTTTATAACTCCACCAAAAAATCGAGTGGTTTGCGTTTTCGACCCGATCCGAAAAGTTCCGAACCGGATTCTACTGGATTTGTGAACCCTGATTGGAGTGTTCTCCTTTGTATTTGGACCTTAATAAATTCCCATTTCTTTGGAGGAAATCAGGAAACTGATGTACTATGATCCTGTCGATATGGTGCAGGTGGAGTGGAGGACGCCTCCGGCTTCAAGCAGCCGACGGACCCGCACATGAGGGATCTCTACCGCACTTTCCGCTGCTTCTGCACGCGCAAAGACGTAAGTGGCGTTCAAGGTGTTCGATCAAATGCGGCAGCCACACTGATCCTTCCATCTTCGCGCTCGCGGGTGTGTGCGTGCGTGCGTGCAGATCCAGTGCAAGGACGTGCTGCTCGACGACCACGACGTGGCCAAGTCCATCACCGAGTTCTGCGCGGTCGCCGCCATCGAGAAGCTCGTCGTCGGCGCCACGGCGAGGGGCGGGTTCAGGTTCAAGGCCGACATCCCGACCACCATCTCCAAGGGCGCGCCGGACTTCTGCACGGTGTACGTCATCAACAAGGGGAAGGTGTCGTCGGTGCGGAACTCCACCCGCCAGGCGCCGCGCGTGTCGCCGCTCCGGTCGCAGATCCAGAACATGGCGGCCGCCGCGGCGAAGCCCGAGCCGGCGACGGCGATGGCGCCCACGCCGCAGAAGTGGTCGTCGTCGTCGAGGGGCCACGACCACCTGGAGACGCCCAAGGTGGACAGCTACATCCGCTCGCCGTTCGCGCGCGGCCCGATGGGCGGTGCCACGCGCAAGTCGTACGCCGACCTCAGCCACCTCTCCATGCCGGACTCCGCCGACATCTCGTTCGTCAGCTCCGGCCGCCGCAGCGTCGAGCACAACCCCGTCCCGGCGCGCCTGTCCGCCGCCTCGGCCGAAAGCTACGACCACAGCTTCGAGACGTCGCGCACGCCGTGGGGCGGAGACTCCTTCGGCGGCAACGACCACACCTCCTTCTCCCAGAGCAGCACCTCCTCCTTCTGCTCCATCGGCATGGTGAGCTGAGCTCGATCACGCCATTGCCACCACCTCGATCATTGCTCATGACATGTTCGACGAATTGCTTGCGCGCAGGACGACGTGGAGACGGAGATGAAGAGGCTTCGGCTGGAGCTGAAGCAGACCATGGACATGTACAGCACGGCGTGCAAGGAGGCGCTGAACGCGAAGCAGAAGGCGATGGAGCTGCAGCGGTGGAAGGCGGAGGAGGAGCAGAGGACGCACGACGCGAGGCTGACGGAGGAGTCGGCGATGGCGCTGATCGAGCGGGAGAAGGCCAAGGCGAAGGCCGCCATGGACGCCGCGGAGGCGTCGCAGCGGATCGCCGAGCTCGAGGTGCAGAAGCGGATCACCGCGGAGAAGAAGCTCCTCAAGGAGGCCGAGGACCGCAAGAACCGCGGCGGCGGCGGCGGCGGCATGTCGCACGAGATCCGCTACCGCCGCTACAGCATCGAGGAGATCGAGCACGCCACCGATCGTTTCAACGACGCGCGCAAGATCGGCGAGGGCGGCTACGGCCCGGTGTACAAGGGCCACCTCGACCACACGGCGGTCGCCATCAAGGTGCTCCGCCCCGACGCGGCGCAGGGGAGGTCGCAGTTCCAGCAAGAGGTGGAGGTGCTCAGCTGCATCCGCCACCCGAACATGGTGCTCCTCCTCGGCGCCTGCCCGGAGTACGGCTGCCTCGTGTACGAGTACATGGCGAACGGCAGCCTCGACGACTGCCTGTTCCGGCGCGGCGGCGGCGGCGGCGGCGGCGGCGGGCCGGTGATCCCGTGGCAGCACCGGTTCCGCATCGCCGCGGAGATCGCCACGGGCCTCCTGTTCCTCCACCAGACGAAGCCGGAGCCGCTGGTGCACCGCGACCTCAAGCCCGGCAACATCCTCCTCGACCGCAACTACGTCAGCAAGATCAGCGACGTCGGGCTGGCGCGGCTCGTGCCGCCGAACGTCGCCGACAACGTGACGCAGTACCGGATGACGTCGACGGCGGGGACGTTCTGCTACATCGACCCGGAGTACCAGCAGACGGGGATGCTCGGCGTCAAGTCGGACGTGTACTCGCTGGGCGTGATGCTGCTCCAGATCATCACGGCCAAGCCGCCGATGGGGCTCACCCACCACGTCGGCCGCGCCATGGAGCGCGGCGCGCTCGCCGACATGCTCGACCCGGCCGTCCCCGACTGGCCCGTCGAGGAGGCGCAGTGCCTCGCCGAGATGGCGCTCCGCTGCTGCGAGCTCCGCCGCAAGGACAGGCCCGACCTCGGCTCCGCCGTGCTCCCGGAGCTCAACCGGCTTCGCGCGCTCGGCGAGGACAACATGCAGTTCTGCGGCGCCATCAGAGGCGGCGTTGGCGGCGGCTTGTACAGCTCGTCCCTCCTCAGCACCCCCTCGCGCTCACAAGCAGCAGTAACTGGACTAACCTTTCTTCCTCCCCTAAATTCTTTCAATTCAGAGGAATTTTAAGATTCTTGAGAAAGTATTTTGAGGTACCTAAATTTTACATTAATTTTTTTTATACCGAGATACTCCCTCCGTCCAAAAGAAAAAAACGAATCTGGATATGATGTGACATATTCTATTACAATAAATCTGGATAGAGGTATGTTTAAATTCATAGTACTATGATGTGTCACATCTAATACTAGATTATATTTTTATGGGATGGGGAGAGTACTTAGTATCTAGAGGTATCAAATTTTACACTTGAAAATATGGTACCTATAGGTACCTTCTTAAGAATGATAAAACTACCCTTCAATTTAACACAACCTTTAAAAAAAACATTCGACTGAACACACAGCTACTCAAACAAATCGAACAAATCTTTCAACTTAACAAAGCAACTAAATTTGCAGGAGTTCATGGGCGATTCACAATACCCAAGATCGGTGTTCAGCTCAAGGACGGGTGAATCACCGATGCCTCTGAGAAGATCAAACGTTTGACACCTCGACCGTCGAAAAATCTCGTAGCATTTGTTCGGAGATATACAGTTTTGTTGTTCCAAGATGGCATTGTTGTTGTGGACACTGTGATTTACAAGTCCGTGTGATCAGAGCTGCCTTAGCATTGATGAGGTGAGGGGAGCAGGATCGAGCAGGTTGGGGGCAAAAGGTTCCTTGCATAAAAGTTGCTACTAGTTTATACAGAATCATATGGCTCTAACATTGCTGTTGATGCAATTTGTGACTTTGTTGAGTGTAATCGAATTCCCTGTAGTTTTGACACGGCATTTTGTGGAGTGGAAGGAATTCTTGATTTTGTTGACTGATGACTAAAATTTCTGGAGTGGCTACTCAGCATTCGGCCAATATTCAGTTGATTTGTTCCAACTCGGCTTACCTCGTAAAATATTTTGAAGCTAACAGTTAGCTTGGTTTGACTCATGTAAGGTGTGTTTAGTTCACGTCAAAATTGAAAATTTGATTGAAATTGAAACGTTGTGACGGAAAAATTGGAAATTTATGTGTAGGAAAGTTTTAATGTAATGGAAAAGTTGAAAGTTTGAAGAAAAAGTTAGAAACTAAACCAGACGTAAGTTACAAGGAACTCACCTCGGCTCGTTCAAATGCTTGAGTTAACTCATTATAATACAATTGAAAGTTCAAAAGTTAACTGTAGCACAAGACTAAAAAAACTGTGCCTTTCCCTGCCCAAAGTCAGAGGGTCCTGATTCCATATATGCCACCATCTTCATGTGTCATTGAATGTCCATATCTATACTTACACGTCTATGCCTAACTTGTCACTCGACCATTTGTCGCTGTCAATCATACTATATCTTTGTCCTTTATTTCTTTCCATTGCAGCACACGGGTAATATATTCTTATCTTCAAATATATTGACGTACAATCCTTTTGCGCGTTCGAGAAAAAAGCACACGGGTACATTGCTAATTATATTTATTTCTTTGGCTTCTTCCCGTTGCAATGCACGTATATGTTGCTATTTATATTCATAACAATGGAACAAACACTATTGTAACGAAGTGTGACATGGTTTTGATTTTGTTGTGGCAACTAATGGTTGTAAACCAAGCCAACCTTTTACTCCCTCTATTCCCTAATATAGGGGATTTTAATATTTTGCTTGCACTGTTTGACCATTCATCTTATTCAAAAAAAATTTAGAATTATTATTTATTTTTTTGACTTACTTTATTATCCAAAGTACTTTAAGTACAACTTTTCGTTTTTTATATTTGTATAAATTTTTTAAATAAAACGAGTGGTCAAACAGTAAAAGCAAAATGTCAAAATCTCTTATATTAAGAGACGGAGGGAGCTGTACACTCTTGTGGTTCCTGTAGGTTAGCATTACAATGACTCATGAGTCTATACTACAGTGAGTGGCTGGATCCTCATGACTAGGGATGAAAACGGATCGGAAACGGACGGAAACTAGCTTTATCATATTCGTTTTTATATTTTTTTTCGGAATCGGAATCGAAAACTCGGATACAGAAATAAAATCGAATATTATCGAATACAGATACGGAGCGAATACGAGACGGAACGAATACAGTAGCGAATATTTACTGGTATATAAAAAACCCCTCAAATTGAGTTTCTTGATAAAGGAAGAGATATCGCTTATTATTTTAGTTCAACATCTCCAACATTTATATCGTCAATTTTATAGACGGTCCCACAACCGTATGTGAAAATCGATTTTCATGGCTCTTCCTCTAAGAGATCCATATGCAAATATGATTATCATTTTCTATTCCCAAAACCTTTTACTATATGTATAACTTATTTACCATTGTATAAATTGGAGATTTTATTTATTTTACTTCACATTTTCGAAACTTGTAATGTTTGTATTATACTTTAAATTCTTTCAAATACAAATGTTATAAACTACAAAGTGGTAAATCCCGTTGAGCTCTACAACTTTGATATGGAATACATCTCCATCAGATGTCGTTGAATTGTAGATATGAGATTTCGTAAAAATTAATATGGTATATTATAATGAATATTTAGACCCATAAATGACCTCAAATAATAAAATAGTCAATAATAAAGTTGTAGATCTCATCGAGCTCTACAGTGTTGATATAAAGTTTGTCTTCATATGATTCCGTATGAAAAAGTTATGTATATATACATGTTTTTTTATATAATTTGCTCAATTTCTGCGGATATCCGAAAAAAATTCCGGATAATTTCCGACCGTTTTCCGATTCCGACGGATAGTACCCTTACTGTTTTCGTTTTCGTTTCCGAGAAAAAAAATATCCGAATTCGTTTCCGAATGCAAGAATTTTCGGATAATTCTGACCGAAACTATCCGAATCTGAAAAATAGTACGACGGACGGAAAGTATCTGAATCAGTTTCATCCCTACTCATGACTTCTCTCAATGTACTTATTTTGTAGTACTGACCAACGTCAAACATTGAGGACGGGGGTAGAATTAAGCAAATACGTACACGATACTTGGTTTGTTAACAGTCTAAATCAAGCGCAGTCAAGCACAGGTTTACACGAATAAACGAGGCAGTGATAAGTTTTGAGTTTTTTATTTAATTTATTTCCTGCTCTTTAGATGAGCTGTAAGGAGGTGGTAGTACCAGTGTACCACTATCTTATCCCTCAAGCATTTGTTGTACATCAAATTCAAATCAATCTGGAAACATATCAATTATAAAAGACCAGTTCGAATAAGTGTATTTGGAATAATGGCTATATTGAGAGGAATAAGTGTATTTGGAAGCTTAAGATGCTATTTAAGATTAAGATTTTCATGAGGTATGCCTAAAGGGTTGTGTTAACTAAGAATAATTTGGCGAAGCGGAATTGGAATGGTAGCTTGAGACGTTGTTTTTGCATGAAGAATAAGACTATTCAACATCTCTTTATGGACTGCCATTTTTTGAAATTCATATGGAGAGCAGTTCAATTCTCTTTTGGTTTCAATCTCCCTTCTAGTATATCACATATTTTTGATGGTTGGCTTTTGGGAGTTGATAAAAAAAAGAGTAAACTAATACTTGTTGGAGCTGCTGTCATTTGTTGGGTGATATGACTGAGTAGGAATGATATGGTTTTTAATAAATCACCATCAATTTCTTACATGCAGATCATTTTCAGGGCAACCCACTTGCTCCGAACGTGGGCACAACTATAAAGGTGTGATGAAAATAAGGAGTTCCTGAAAGTTGCACGTCGTAAGCTGGAGACTACGGTTATGCAACTTTTTACCAATTATGGATGGAGATTCACAAATAGACTACAATAAATGTGTTCTCCCATTGTTAGTTTGGTTTATCCGTTATCTTTTATGGTGTGCTCCATTTTTAGATTCACACCTTTTCTCGAACGCTATTATGTAATAATTGGTTGTGGCTTTTTTGAGTAAAAACCGGGATACTATATTCTATTATTAAAAAAAAAGACCCGTTCGAATTCAGCCACCCCCGGCATGCATCACGCCATCTTTAATTTTCTACGTTTTGCATCATGTTATATACTGAGCAAGCAAAGACTTAGTTTGCAACTTGGAAAGAGTATATACTAGCTATAACATGAAATTTGAGTTCATTTGATTGAGTTCCCAACTCACTCTCCTCGTTTTCCACACGCACACTTTTCAAATTGCTAAACGATACATTTTTTTAAAAAAAAATATACGAAAGTTGCTTTAAAAAATCATATTGATTTTTTTAAAAGCTAATACTTAACTAATCACACGCTAATTGATCGCTCTATTTTCCATGCAGGGAGGTGGTGTGAATTGAATCTTACCCGCCGAAATACAAATTATGGTCTAACAACGAGACATCCATGGTGATTTTGTTAATTTTAAGATATATCGGATCGGCTTATCAAAGGTTCCCATAGGGATCAGGGTGTATGCACATGCATCGTTTTTCGGAAAAGAAAACATAGCTATTTATATTTATCTTAGTTAATGCAGGATATTAAAATCAAAATAAACTAAAATTGGTAGTACTTTTGTACTAAAGCTGCACTTTCCAATATTGAGCAAGTTTTTGTGACTGACAGCCAAGAAAAGAAAATAAGCCGATTAGCAAATAGCAAGACTGTTCCATTGAACGAGAAAAAAAAATCAGTTAGGAGTTATGACCATATAGATTTAATAATATAAACTTCAATAGATCTAGCTACAAAAATACATGGGGCATCATACTAGTTTTATTTCTTAAGCTGAATGAAATGGAAATGATAAACAGATAAATAATTTGTAATAATTATTCGAGAATATAAACAAACAAATTAACTATCACAAAGTTAAAACATCATATTAAACAATATTCTAAAAAGATTTATATAGAAAGTTTTTAAATAACCATACCGTTTAGGGGGGGGGGGTATGTATTCATCCATTAATCCATTATAAGTAGGAAAGAATAGAGACAAGAAGACAAGAAAGTCACTAGCCACTAAACACCCAACAATTAAACAGAAAAGTATATTTTGACAATGTTAAGTCATCCTAGTACTAGACAGAAACATTTAACATATGGGCCGGCCGGCGGCCGGCCATGTGCATCTTTTTTCTTCTAGAAGAAATTAAAATGAGCGGGTAAATTTAGGGTCTTTTCATTTGGAGAAAAAATATGGAAATTTTGAAATATTTGAGTCCTTCGAGTACTAAAGGAAAATTTCCTATGAAACCATTTAAAACGAAGGATTGAATCATATCGTATCCTTTGAAATTCCTATGGAATGAACAATCCTATTTAGATTTTAGAGAAAATTTAGCAATAGCTCTAACCTCTTGGAAACTTCTCTATGTCTATCTCTCATCCGATTCCTACATTTTTCCTGCGATTCAATCAAACAGTTATTCCTGTGTTTTGCAATTCTCTGTTTTACACTTACATTCCAATTAGAATCCTACGTTTTTTCATTCCTACGATTCAAAGGGGCCCTTAGTAATCCCTATCCAGAAATTAATATGCATAGATCATGCATGATCTCATACTTTAGTCATTTGTAGCATCGTGCACTTCACACTTCATCGACATTACTGTACCTGAGAGTGATTTCCCAACCATTTTTGTTTGACAAACATGTTGCCTTGTGCGGTTGTGCTTACAGGCCGCCAGTAGGCAGTAGGATACACATCTCCACATCCGCTGCCTCGGCGTCGCCGTTTGTCATAAGGCCTCATACACGAAACCCCAAACACAATGTGACAAGAGATTGATATTAGAGAGCATCTCCAGCAATAATTTGTATCCTAAAGCTCCTCTGTAGTGTTACCATTGACAAATATTTATCGGTTTTTATCAATGACGAGTAAATTTTGGCGGTCATTTCTTAATCAATTTCAGAAAATATATTTCAAAGATACTTGCAAAGTATAATGATAATGTTAAATAATTTGATTATTTAAAAATATTGTTGGTGACTGATAATTATTATTTTCTTTGTTTCACATTATACAAGTTTTTGAATAGATTTATGCATGAATATGTTTCAGCTAAATTCATATGGATGTTAGTGACTATAGACAAGAGATGAATATGTCTAAAACTTCTTATAATGTGAAAGAGAGTATTATATAGACTTCCCATAATCACGCAACACAAGCTAGCTCGCTCCAAGCATGGCGACCGTTGAGTCATCGACGGCGCCGGGCGTCGCCGTCGCCGCCGCGGTGGTTCTGGTGGTCTTGACGTGGCTGTGGACGGCGCGGTGCAGCTGGTGTGGAGGCCGTACGCCGTGGCGAGGGCGTTCGGTCGGCAGCGGATCCGCGGGCCGGCGTACCGGCTCTTCGTCGGCAGCGACGGCGAGGCGAACGCGATGCGCGCCGCGACGCGCGGCGACGTGCTCGACCGGCGCTGCCACGACATCGTCCCGCGCGTGATGCCGCACTACCGCGCGTGGATGTCGCGCTACGGCAAGGTGTTCGTCTCGTGGAGCGGCGCCACGCCCGCGCTCTGCGTCGGCGACTACGCCATGGTGAAGCAGATCCTGTCCGACCGGACGGGGCTGTACGGCAAGCCGGAGCCCGAGCCGAGCATCCTGGCGCTGATCGGCAACGGCCTCATCTTCATCGGCGGCGACGACTGGGCGCGCCACCGTCGCGTCGTGCACCCGGCGTTCGCCATGGACAAGCTCAAGATGATGGCCAAGACGATGGCGGATTGCGCGCGGGAGGTGATCCGGGAGTGGGAGGCGCGTGCCACGGCCGACGGCGAGCGGCGGGTGCAGGTGGAGGTCGGGGGGCAGCTCCAGGAGCTGACCGCCGACGTGATCTCGCACACGGCGTTCGGCAGCAGCTACAGGGAAGGGAAGGAGGTGTTCGTCGCGCAGCGCGAGCTCCAGTCCATCGCCTTCTCCGCCATCAACAGCACCCGCTTCCCGGGCAGCCAGTACATCCCGACGAAGACGAACCTGCGCCGGCGACATCTCGCCAAGAAGGTGAGAGGCACGCTCATGGCGATCATACGCGAGCGCCAGGCCGCCGCCGCCAAGGAGGACAGCGGACACGGCAACGACCTCCTCGGCCTGATGCTCGAGGCCAACGCGACGGACGCCTGCGGTAGCGGCGGCGAGAAGAGCATGACCATGGACGAGATCGTCGACGAGTGCAAGACCTTCTTCTTCGCCGGCCACGACACCACCTCGCACCTCCTTACCTGGGCCATGTTCCTCCTCGGCACGCACCCCGAGTGGCAGCACCGCCTCCGCGAGGAGGTCCTCCGTGAATGCGGCGGCGGCGGCGACACGGAGGCGCTCCCCAACGGCGACGCTCTCAACAAGCTCAAGCTGGTAAAAAGCTCAACGAAACTCAAAGCTGGCACGGTGATGGCCGGCGACGAACAGCATGCGTTTGACGATAATTTATTCGCAGATGACGATGGTGCTGTACGAGACGCTGCGGCTGTACGGGCCGGTGAGCCTGATGGCGAGGACGGCGACGGCGGACGCGGAGCTCGGCGGCGTGCGGGTGCCCAAGGGCACGATGACGATGATACCGATGGCGATCCTGCACCGCGACGCGGACGTGTGGGGCGCGGGCGCCGGCGAGTTCGACCCGCTCCGGTTCCGCGGCGGCGTGAACAAGGCGGCGGCGCACGCCGGCGCGCTGCTGGCCTTCTCGCTGGGGCAGAGGTCGTGCATCGGGCAGGACTTCGCGATGATGGAGGCGAAGACGACGCTGGCCATGATCCTCCGGCGCTTCGCCTTCGAGGTCTCACCGGAGTACGTGCACGCGCCGCTCGACTTGCTGACGCTTCAGCCCAAGTGCGGGCTCCCAATGGTGCTCAAGCTCTTGGATCAATAGAACGTGTAGAACCTTTGGTCGCTAATTTCTCGGGCATTTTCTATGGGATTGTGTTCGCAACATTTGATTGAAAGACCTGCCTCAAAATCTTGTAAATTCTATACCATTCGATTATTTTAAGATTCGTGCTAGGCAACCAAAACCGTGAAGCCGGCCCCTTCCTTCTTACTCCTTCTCTCAACGTCCTCTCACGCTACCGCCACTCGGCCTCGTCAGCTGGCCAGAAGGGGTCAATGGTGCCGGCCTTCTTCCCTAAACCGGCGGTGGCGAGTGCCCTCGCTCCGCTGTCTTCCCTGTCTCGGTGGCTCTGCGTCATCGGATCCGCCTCCACCGGTCGTCGTTTCCTAACCATAAGCTTGCTTTGTCCCCCTCATTAACATCGGTCCACCGTCCTCCTCCATCTTAGTGGCTTCATTGCAATTGTCGGCGTCTCGCCGGTGGCACGTGCCCACCGCCCACCACAGGGTTTTGGACTTTATCAAATGCCATCCTTTCGGTAAGTCAACTTTGTTAAAAAGCTACCAAATCTATGTCAAAATTATCAAAATTTATCAAATAGATTTCCAATTTCCAATTTGATAAATTTTGATAATTTTGACATAGATTTAAATCTATTTGATAAATTTTGACTTTCAATTTAGCTATCAATTCCAAATCTATTTGATAAATTTTGATAATTTTGACATAGATTTGGTAGCTTTTTAACAAAGTTGACTTACCGAAAGGATGGCATTTGATAAAGTCCAAAACCCTGTGGTGGGCGGTGGGCACGTGCCACCGGCGAGACGCCGACAATTGCAATGAAGCCACTAAGATGGAGGAGGACGGTGGACCGATGTTAATGAGGGGGACAAAGCAAGCTTATGGTTAGGAAACGACGACCGGTGGAGGCGGATCCGATGACGCAGAGCCACCGAGACAGGGAAGACAGCGGGGCGAGGGCACTCGCCACCGCCGGTTTAGGGAAGAAGGCCGGCACCATTGACCCCTTCTGGCCAGCTGACGAGGCCGAGTGGCGGTAGCGTGAGAGGACGTTGAGAGAAGGAGTAAGAAGGAAGGGGCCGGCTTCACGGTTTTGGTTGCCTAGCACGAATCTTAAAATAATCGAATGGTATAGAATTTACAAGATTTTGAGGCAGGTCTTTCAATCAAATGTTGCGAACACAATCCCATAGAAAATGCCCGAGAAATTAGCGACCAAAGGTTCTACACGTTCTATTGATCCAAGAGCTTGAGCACCATTGGGAGCCCGCACTTGGGCTGAAGCGTCAGCAAGTCGAGCGGCGCGTGCACGTACTCCGGTGAGACCTCGAAGGCGAAGCGCCGGAGGATCATGGCCAGCGTCGTCTTCGCCTCCATCATCGCGAAGTCCTGCCCGATGCACGACCTCTGCCCCAGCGAGAAGGCCAGCAGCGCGCCGGCGTGCGCCGCCGCCTTGTTCACGCCGCCGCGGAACCGGAGCGGGTCGAACTCGCCGGCGTCCGCGCCCCACACGTCCGCGTCGCGGTGCAGGATCGCCACCGGCATCATCGTCATCGTGCCCTTCGGCACCCGCACGCCGCCGAGCTCCGCGTCCGCCGTCGCCGTCCTCACCAGCATGCTCACCGGCCCGTACAGCCGCAGCGTCTCGTACAGCACCATCGTCATCTGCGCATAAATTATCGTCAAACACATGTTGTTCGTCGCCGGCGATCACCGCGCCAGCTTTGAGTTTCGTTGAGCTTTTTACCAGCTTGAGCTTGTTGAGAGCGTCGCCGTTGGGGAGCGCCTCCGTGTCGCCGCCTCCGCCGCCGCAGCATTCACGGAGGACCTCCTCGCGGAGGCGCTGCTGCCACTCGGGGTGCGTTCCGAGGAGGAACATGGCCCAGGTGAGGAGGTGCGAGGTGGTGTCGTGGCCGGCGAAGAAGAAGGTCTTGCACTCGTCGACGATCTCGTCCATGGTCATGCTCTTCTCGCCGCCGCCGGCCGCCGCGTTGGCCTCGAGCATCAGGCCGAGGAGGTCGTTGCCGTATCCCCTGTCCTCCTTGGCGGCGGCGGCGGTGGCCTGGCGTTCGCGTATGATCGCCATGAGCGTGCCTCTCACCTTCTTGGCGAGCTGTCGCCGGCGAATGTTCGCCTTCGTCGGGATGTATTGGCTGCCCGGGATGCGGACGCTGTTGAGGGCGGACATGGCGATGTACTGGAGCTCCCGCTGCGCGACGAACACCTCCTTCCCTTGTCTGTAGCTGCTGCCGAACGCCGTGTGCGAGATCACGTCGGCGGTCAGCTCGTGGAACTGCTCCCCGACCTCCACCTGCACCATCCGCTCGCCGTCGGCCGCTGCCGCGGCACGCGCCTCCCACGCCTGGATCACCTTCCGCGCGCACTCCGCCATCGTCTTGGCCATCATCTTGAGCTTGTCCATGGCGAACGCCGGGTGCACGACGCGGCGGTGGCGCGCCCAGTCGTCGCCGTTGACGAAGGCGAGGCCGTTGCCGAACAGCGCCAGGATGCTCGCCCCGGGGTCCGGCTTGGCGTACAGCCCCGTCCGGTCGGCGAGGATCTCCTTCGCCATGGCGTAGTCGCCGACGCAGAGCGCCGGGAAGGGGCCGGTCCACGAGACGAACACCTTGCCGTAGCGCGACATCCAGGCGCGGTAGTGCGGCAGCACGCGCGGGACGACGTCGTGGCAGCGCCGGTCGAGCACGCCGCCGCTCGCCGCCGCGCGCATCTCGTTCGCCTCGCCGATGTTGCCGACCAGGAGCCGGTACGCCGGCCCGCGGACACCCTGCTGGCCGAGCGCCCTCCCCACCGCGTACGGCCTCCACACCAGCTGCGCCATCGCCGTCCACAGCAACGTCGAGACGACGACCACCACCACCGCGACGGCGACGATGACGGCTGGCCCGGTAGACGCGTCCACGATCGCCATGGGAACCAATGCGCCAAGCTTGGAGCTTAGCTTTGTGGCAGGAAGAACAAATGAACAAGCGGGTGTGTATATATATATAATACTCCCTCCGTTTCATATGTTGTTTTTACTTTTTTTTGAAGTTTGATAGAATTTATAGAAAAATATAGCAACATTCTTGATACAAAACAAATATATTATCAAAATATATTCAATATATTTGTTTGTTTTGGTATTGTTTGGATGTTCCTGGAGATGTGGTGGATGCTACGTTGCTGCTGTTACTGAGGGCCGGTAAGCACAAGGCAACATGTTTGTCGGGGGTTGGGAAATTGTCACTTTCTGCTACAATGCCGATGCTAGCGATGAACGTAGTAGCACGAGATGACGCGAGCGCTTTAAGAAGATGGAAATTTCTGAATGAGGTGTGACGTAATGTACATGCTGTGTGTAATTTTGATGAATATTTCTGAATGAGGTATGGCGCCAACGTTTTAAGATGATGAGTATTCAAAAATATGATACTATATATTGATTTTATTCAGTCTTTTGTGTGTAAATTAGATCAATTCTGTTTATTAGAATATAATGACAATATCTGGGGTTAAGTACAATTTATCCCTTTAACTATAGCAAAAATACAATTGTCACATGAACTCTAATACCAAATATTTTACACAATGAGGTCTTGAAATCGTAAGGTTATCACATATCAAAACCCGAAGTGGTTTGGAAGCCAAGATGAACACTTAATTAGATGATACTACGCCGCTTGCAGATGCTTATCGCCGTTAGAGCATGCCCAACAGATTACTTATTCTATTCCCTATCCTTAAATTAAAGAAATTTTAACCAAAATTCTCATCCAACAGATTCCCTAACCAACATCCCAATAATCCAGGTTCCCATATCCGTATATGTCGTTACTCATTTGCAGGGAACCATTTTTTCTTCCCAATCGCGGTCGTCGCTGCCTCGCGCGCGTAGGGGGAAAATTGTTCCCGCGCTCCTTTTCTCGCCCTCCTCGCCAGTCGCCAGCAACAAAATTCCTCTTCCTCCCAGGCGTCGACAGCGGCTTTCCAGGCGGCGAAGCAACGGCCAACCCCTTCCTCGCAGGCGTCGTCGACTGAGTTCCACGCGGAGATGCAGCGGTCGTCCCCTTCCTCTCGGTCGCAGGGGTCAGCGTCGGTGTTGCTCCAGGCAACGATGCAGCGGCCATGCCCTTCCTCTCAGGCGCAGGCGCCGGCGTTGCTCCAAGCGGCGATGCAGTCGCCGTCCTCTTCCTCGCAAGCGTCGGCATCGGCGTTGTTCCAGGGGGCGCCCGCACGTCGACCACCGCCTCCTCGATTTGGGGCCGATGGCCCTCTGCGCCCCGCACCGCCGCCTCGCCGTCGTCTCGGTCTGCCTCATCCTCAACCTCCCTACTCCGGTGTGCAGGCGACAGAGTCCATGGAGGGACATGCTCCATGGGAGACACTGAATCCCATCTCACACGAAGCTCCTGGCGTCGATTTTTCCACAGCTTATTCTGTGAGTGATGAAGAATTCCTCCATAGGAGCAATTTCGGTAAGGCTGTCCCTGATTCGTTCGATGTTTAGATTAATTTTCAGAGTGTTGCAGCCTGATCTGATGTCCATTCTGTGACTGACTTCCCCGACTAGAAATTCAGGAATTCAGGATTCAGAACACTTAGAGGAAAATGTCAGAAAGTCTGAAATTTGTACTGTATTGAATGAAAGTCTGAAATATGCAGGATATGCTCTAAATTTGAAAGTCTGAACACTTAGAGGAAATCAGGTTTCAGAACATTTAGTAATGAAGGATATGCTCTAAATGTGTGGTATGCTCTGAAAGTCTGAAATATGCTGTGTCAAATATTTTTGCTATGTCAAATGTACTCCCAAAGTCTGAAATATGCTCTGAAAGTCTGAAATATTTTTCTCTCATCACAGCATCTTTGAAATATGCTCTGAATTATTGCATTAAGATAATGTTGTTAGATAATGCAACAAGATGCAATCCATAGTCTATTTTTCAAGATAAAAGAACCACCTGCTTTTGCCAATCAGACTTTTAGTTTCATGAAAGCTGCAACTGCAGAATTCTAAGTACAACAACATAGGTTCAGTAGGATTATAATAACTTGTACAGTTCTTAGCTCTAAATACAACAGCTGCTTAATTGAAGTGATCATCTGCATTTAGTATGCCTCACTTTTTAGATTAGCAGATGAACAACCACATGCTTGTGCCAAATATTGAAAATAGTGTCTGAAAGATGCAATTTCAGTATGTATGTGCCACTGACATACATACTAACAAGGTTCACTGTCACTGAAAGATGAACAATCACTCACTGTCACTGACATTTATTCTTCTTCAGTTCCCTTCTCTGATGCCATCATAGACAGTATGTGCTCTGAAATATTGAGAAACTATTTGCTCTGAATTTTTGCTATGCTCTGAAAGTCTGAAACCGAAAGTATACAAGTCTGTTTTTTTTTCCTCAAGTACATGCTAACAAGGTTCCCTGATTAATTACTGCATGACCTATAACAGATTCACCATGCTTTGGAACTTCATCATCGTCGAACTCTTCATGCACTATATCAACCGCCGAAGAAATAAATTCTTCGTCACCATCCGATGAAAACTCATCCAATAACATTTGAAGGAGGGTGCTTCGACGACTCATCTCCTCTTTTTGTTTGCCACGGGGTTGGAGCGTTTACCACAGGGATGAAGTGCAATGGAGGGAACTGATGGCAGGAATAGAACAATAATCAATCTGCAAAATTAATTATCAGATCAAACTTAATATTTTCCAACAATATATATCCACATATCAAAATACAGACATAGAGATTGACTACGGCACAAGAGATCAATGGGATTTGCTAAGGATTACCTCCTTGATGACACGAATTGCTACGGCATCTCCTTGGTGTTCCATTTTTTAACAAATCGCAGCAGTCAGGACACTGGTTGACTGGCTGGTGATGATGGCGCTAGGTCACGGCGGCGCAGGTCCGGGGAGGAAGAAGTCGATCGGCGCTAGTGCGGGAGGGAGAAGACGTGCACAAGTACCGAACTGGGCCCCACCTTGCTTACGTGGCAAACTAACAAATGATAGGGAATTGATTTTTGGGCATCTCTTGGAGGAGGGGGTCATTGTTGGGCCTAATTTTTATTTTGGTATTCCTAATTCAGATTTTTTGGGAATCAAATATTGGGTGATTGTTGGGCATGCTCTTAGCTACCTAAAAATTTTGTATCAGTCCTCTTTTTCCCCCTTAGGTCTATGTGCCCTCTTGTAAGGATGATCCCCTGTTTTACTCCCGCCTTCTATTAATGAAATGGCAGAGCTCCTACCCATTCTCTAAAAAAAAGTTTTAAGTGGTTTTAGACCTAAGTGGCATATATGTGTCCATGATCTAAGATGTGACATCCTAATCAGCTTGAGAAGCCTCCCTTCTCCTTCATCTCTCTTGCCAAGCTGCCTCTTGCCCTCTCCAACAACAGGGCAACACCCTAGCGTAGGTGGTGGGTGTATAAATTGGTGTTGGTTGCGAAGCTTTAGGAGAATGCAACGCTTAGGAAGGAGAGGAGAGGAGCTCGAGGAGGTGGTAGTGGAAGAGCTCAACTTTCCTACGCTGAGCTCGAGGAGGAAGAGGCGCGTGGTGAAGACACCAAAGGTCACAAATCTAGGTGGAGGCTCTTGTAGATGGGACTTAAGGGGACAACGATGGCAGAAGATTTCAATGACATGGAGCACGAGTAAAATGCGGAGTGTCAAGATATCAGCAAAGGCAAGTCTAGGTGGAGGCACCTCGGGGAGGTGGCGGCTAAGACAGAACTCAAGCTCAAGTTCACTTGCACTGAGCTCATGGAAGAGGGAGATGGTCGATCTTGAGGAGACGATAGCGATGACGAATCATAGCTAGACGTAGCTTGGCTTTCTCAGGGACACTCAGGGACGCGCAAGCAGAGGCGAAGCTCGAGCTTAGGCCAACATAGGCCTAGCTAATAGAGGAGGCACTCAAGCAGACAACATTCGTAGGTGGAGCTTGTTGCTTGCAATGGTTATGCGATTTCTACCTAGCTGCTAGGGATTTTAGATATTAGGAAAGACGGAGCTTGGTAGAGCTCATATATGGAGACAGTGGCATAGCGGACCTTGGCATGACGGAGTTCAAGGAGGCGAGAAAAATATCAAGGAGGGGGTGTCCATAGAAGGAATGTACCTAGGGATGTGGTGATTGAGAGCTTGAGCTCGCCAGCGATGATCTCATGAGAAGGATAGGCACTCATGGACGCGAAGGCATGGAGCACCACGATCATGATTACCGTGCATGAGACCAACATGCTCACGATAAGCACATCGGCATCCTAGACACATGGAGAAACTGAGAAAGGGAGATAAGAGAGGAGTAAGAGGAATAAGGGAATCAATCTCTAGCATGTAGGACATACTATTTTTTAATTTATGTTGCTGGCTGGAGTCCATATAAGCGCTACGCGATGAATACCCTCCTTGTTTAGACCGGGGTCAATTAAATGTTACTCCCTCTGTCCCAAATTATAAGACCTATATTTTCTTACACGGTCTTCAATAGCAACTTTGACCAGCATTTATTTCATTCTATGATCCCAACAAATATAAAATTAGTATCACATGAAAGTACTAATCTTGTGATATAACATGCATAATATTTAGTATAGATATAGTTAGTATGATTATTTGTCAAAAGCTACCGAGTTTGATTTTTCTTCAAAAGTGGGCGCCCTATAATTTGGGGCGGAGGGAGTATTGATAGTTTGGGAGGGTTGAATATTCAATTTTGAAGTTGAGACGTGATTTTAGAAAGAAAAAACACAATAGTTAGGAGGGTTTAATGGACTTATCAACTAATTGTTCTGATCAGGCTTTACACATACAAGTAGAATTCAACGAGATCTCCATGCAATCAAAGCCATGAATCAAATAAGCGGACCATGGTGTTTCCAGATGATCGTTGGAATTTCTGGTCAGTTTGATCTAATCCACATCACTAATATGACGAAGCAGCCAATACAGTACATCAAAGTTGCAGACTCGAAGTTATGTATTATAATATTTATATTTGAATTTGAATATACAAAAATACATTGGGTACTATCCTATAAGATCATATGGAAAATCGTCGTACAACTATAATTCAACAAAAACTACAATGTAAAGAATTGAGCCATTAATAGCTTCAATCATCATCATTTCAAGAAGGAAATATGCTTTCATTCCTCAAAGGGGCATCACCTTGTGTGTTTCTAACTTCTCAATAATTATGAAGATTAACAAAACAAAAATTTCAATAGAGTATGTTGCCTTTACAGATTTACCACTAAGATAAATTCAAATCTAAACTCAACCTATGACGTGAGAAAAAAAAAGACAAATATGATGGTAAATGTGTAAGTACCATTCACAATATCGATTTTTTTCCCCTTAAAATGAGTCGATTTTAAATTTAAATTTTCTGTTGTACTCCCCGTCCCAAAAAAAAAATCAACCTTAGATTGTATTTGTCACAATCTAGTACAGCTAATCGAGTCTGTGTAGACTCGTTGTACTGGATTATGTTAAATCCAATTCTATATTAGTTTTTTTTGGACGGAGGAAAGTATTTTGTAGTAGAAATATGTCATACCAATATCATTTTTTTAAAAAATAACTATATTATTCTTGAGAAAATACGGAGGACGTGACGAACGGGTGATCCATGAGCTGCACGGCGGACGGCCGCTTCGCCGGATTCATCTGCAGGCAACACCCGACGAAGCTTCGGAACTCCGGCGAGGCGGTGGCCGGCGCCTCCGGTGGTCCGTCGGAGTAACACGTCAGCGGGATCGATTGCCCCTGCTCGACCAAGGGGAAGCTGCCCGTGTAGAGCTCGAGGATGGTGAGGCCGAAGCTCCATATGTCGCCGGCGTAGCCGCCGCCGCCGCCGCAGGCGTGGTCGGGGCTCATGTACGCGGCGGGGCTGAGCGACGCCCTGCAGGGCCCGCCGTTGGCCGTCCGGTCGATGGCGCGGTCGGCGCCGAACCCGGCGATCTTGACGCGCCCCGACGAGTCGACGAACAGGTTGGACGGCCTGATGTCCCCGTGGACGACGCCGCGGCGGTGGAGGTGCGCGATCCCGGAGAGCGCCTGGCGCGCGACGCCGGCGAGGGCGCGCTCGTCCGCGACGCGGCGGCCGGAGAGAGACCCGCCGCGCATGTGCTCGAGCAGGACGATCCGGTGCTCCTCGCCGCCGCCGCCGCTCCGGCGCGTGGCGCCGTGGCACCGCACCAGGGACGAGTGGTCGTCGTCGTCGGCGTCGCCGCCGGCGGCGGCGGCCCAGCGCTCGTAGAGCACCTTGAGCGCGTACTCCCGCCGCGTGCCACGGTGACGCACCAGCCACACCTCGCCGGCCTCGCCGCTGTCGACGAGGCAGACGAGCTCCATCTCAGCGAGCGGGGGCTCCACCGTGGTGTCGAGGGACGGCGGCGGCGGTGGCGCGGCGAGCGACATGGCGACGTCGGCGCGCGGCGTCCGGACGGTGAGATCCCGGCGCCAGCGCGGCCGCCGCACGGGCGGAGGGTTGGGACGCGCAGACATGGAATGGAAGAGCAGCTGCTTTGCGTTGCGTTGTCAAATTTTGCAGCAAGGATGATGAAAACTAGTATATATAAAAGAGATTTGGATAGATTGCTTGTGAGATTTGGCGTTGAATGAAATCTGCGAAGTTAAATTAAGGAGATAATGTTGACCGGTGAAGGCGAGCCATGACATATGATCAGCCATCGTGAATACGAGGTTGACTGGACTGTAGACCGGTGTGAGTCAGCATGACTGAGGATGCCGCAGGTTGAGTCAGCATCATCTCAAATTCGGTAAGCACCCATAAGTTCTTTCCCCAACTTTCCAACTCATCACTTTTATGTTTCGTGCGTACGCTTTTCAAACAGCTAAACGGTGTATTTTTTTTAAAAAAAAATTATACGAAAATTGCTTTAAAAAATCATATTAATATATTTTTCATGTTTTTTATAGTTAATACTTAATTAATTATGTGTTAATCAATTGTCATGTTTTGTGTGTAAAGGGCAGGGTTCCCAAAAAAAAAAACACAGCCCTTAGTTTGCTTACACTTATGGCAGCAAGATCTATTCCTCGCCCCGTATGTCTCACGCAATAATCATACACAAAAGTATAGTTAGGTTGTATCTAATGAACAATGGGAATGTGCAAGGGAGTAGTGTAATTTGGAATCTAAGATATGTTTAAGAGGTGAGAAAAGAGGAAGATTGGGAAAATACGTAAAATGATGATAATGAGGTGTGCGATTAGTGCAACATTAATTGAGTATTAATTATTTCAAACTTTTTTAAAAAAGATTAATGCGATTTTTTGAACAGTTTTTATATAAATATTTTTGCAAAAAAAGGCATCATTAAATAATTCGGGAACTTTGCCCGTTAAAAAGAGTGAATTTCTCTCAATCTGCTGCTACCGAACGAAGCCAAGAGTACCCATGAAGTTTGTGGTAGCTAAGTAATCTTAAGGTGTGATTATATCCAATACTAAAATCTAGTCACGGAAGAATTGGAATCGCAGTCAAAGACTGGAATTTTTTATGTCGACATTTGACCGTAGAGCACAAATGTGGAAAGATCCGTCTATGGAAACAGTTTGATAGTTTGTCTGGAATGCCACATTTTTCTTCCAAATGACACTTCGAAACAACAATCCAAACAATTATATAAAAGGAGGAAAAAATGTCATTTTACCAACTTCAAGTCTTAGAGCGACAAATAAATAAGATAAATACAAGTCTGAATACAATGTCATTTTTTAAAATTTTATTTTGTTTCTCAATGTGCGGGTGAATTTGGATTTTAAATTTATCGGTAGAGCACAAATGTCCCAAGTTTTTTTCTAAACTTTTACAACTATCTTTTTTCTAGAGAAAAAGGAACAACTATTTTCCTTTTTCCTTAATTTTCTAGCAGGTTGAAAATACCTTTTTTCTTCTTCGAGTGCTAGCTGAAGGTGAACGGGATTTCTTGATTTCTTCTAGTGCTAGCTGAGACTGCTAGAGATGCTAGGGCCTAGGTGCTTGGGAGAATGTTTGCTATTTGAATTCAAATGTTTGGGTTTGGCCTCAACTGTTTTGGCTACAAGTTTGACATTTTGTGTTGAATGCAAGCATGCAAATGGTAGAAGGAAATAAATGTTGTCAGCGGCGGGAAAGAGAAATGTTGACCGATGATGGCAAAGTCCACCATGAATCCACGATGACCTCGTATTGTAAATTTGTAATCGAGGCATGTTTGAAGAAGCCTTTACCGGTTACTGTTTCCTCTAGAATCTCAAGCTAACGAATAATACATATTTCCACTCGGATTATAAGAATAAGTAGTTACAAAATTTATAAGTTCAGAAATCTACTCCCTCCGTATTTTAATGTATAACGCTGTTGACTTTTTAACCAACGTTTGACTACTCGTCTTATTCAAGATTTTTATATAAATATAAAAATAGTTATGTCATGCTTAAAGAACATTTGATGATAAATCAAGTCATAATAAAATAAAGGAAAAAGTACGAATTACCCCCCGAACTATTGTGGTTGTCCGAATTACCCCCTGAACCACAAAAACGAACATTCTTCACCCTGGACTTTCAATACCGGACGAAATACCCCCTCGACCCAATTCAGAGCGGTTTTATCCTACGTGGCGTACGCGTGGCAGTCCAGTCAGCATTTTTTTTCAAAAAATGGTGGGGTCCACCTGTCATGCCTCCACTCTATCTCTTCCTAATTTCTCTCTCCGTTCTCTCTCACTCGTGCATGCAGGCGCAAGTGCGGAGCGGCGGTCGGACGACGGCGGCGCTCTGGGGCGGGCGGCGAACGACGGCGAGTGGGAGCGGCGCAAGTGCGCACGGAGGCGCGGAGCTGCGGACGACGGCGACGCGTGGGGGCGCACGGTGGAAGGCGGCGCACGGGGGCGGGCGGCGGACGGCGACGAGTAGGAGCGGCACAAGTGCGCTCGGCGGCCCGGCGCCGCGGACAACGGCGGCGCGTGGGGGCGGGCGGCGGACGGCGGCGCGCGGAGGCCGTCGGGGTCCCGCATCGTCCTTCCAGATCCGCGCGTCCCCCGCCCCCGTCCGCCGCCGGTCCCGCGCGAACAAGCTCGCCGGCCCAGCCTTCTCCCTCGTATGTTGTCGCCACCGCTGGTGCCCCCTCGTGCGAGCGCGGCGCCGCTAGGCCTGGAGCGCGGGAAGAAAGCGACGCCGCCGTGTGCCTCCCCGTGCGCGCGCGGCACCGTCGCCCCCAACTGGTCCGCCCCCGGCCGTTGCCGTCCTCGGTCCCCCTCCGCTACCCCGGCCGTCGCTCAAGCAGCTCCTCGCCGAGGCCCACGCCGCGCTCCACCGCCGTGACGCGACCCACCTCGCCTCCACATTGCGTGACCTCTCCGCTTCCGCCGCAATGACGTCCGACTCCGGCGAGGCCGCACTACCGCCGCTGCCTCCGCGTCACCCTCATCCCCCACCGCCGGCCGCAGCTCCGTGTGCCCCGCCTCCCGCCCGTGAGAGAGAGAAGAAAGAGGAAGAGTATGACATGTAGGTCCCATATTTTTTTTAATAAATAGAATGTTGACTCAGCTGCCATGCGTATGCCACATAGATCAAAACCACCGTGGATTGGGTCGAGGGGGGGTATTTCGTCCGGTATTGAAAGTTCAGGGTGAAGAATGTCTGGTTTTGTGGTTCAGGGGGGTAATTTAGACAACCGCGATGGTTCGGGGGTGGTAATTCGTACTTTTTCCTAAAATAAATTATAGTTACATAAATTTTTTGAATAAGACGAAAGGTTAAACGTTTGTTAAAAAGTCAACGGCGTCATACATTAAAATACGGAGGGAGTAGTTTTTTCATATTCTAAAAAAAAAATCTTCACAGAATCTTAAGCTCACAAAAGCAATCATCAACCAGCCTATCTTAATCCCATAAGTGTGGTGCACCACGCTGTGGTTGTGTAAGATTGGGATCACCTAAAGTTTCAATAGAGATTGCAAGCTACGCTACTGTACGCAACTGCAACCATCCATTTTGATATTGAACACTGTATAGTTAGCTTCAGTGTGAATGTAAGACTACTCAACAATTTTTGCTACAGTTAGGTTCTTAGGTACAGTACCCTAAACGTATTTTGACCATTAGATTCAAATCTAACAGCCGGCAATAGATTCGAATCTGACTGCAGTTGATCCAAATCTAGGTCTGCATGAGCGGAGAAGTGGATGTGCAGTTTGAAGTTGAGTCACTGACATACGAGTCTCACTTTGCTATGGCTCACGTATTAGCGGCACAATTACACATTTGCACAAAGTCAGCATCCCATAAGTGCATGGGCCCATAAACCACGGCGGGTACCCAGTTTCGGCCCAACTCGTCGCTGAAACATCGCAGGCTTTCGGCCCAGCTCTACGCTGTGCGCTCATGGGCTTTGGGCCCGGCGTTATCGTAGGTTGCGCGACGGCAAGGGAATCACGCACAGAGCCACAGACTGACGAACGCCACGCCGCCGCGGCGCTGCTGCACTCCGGTCCTCTTCCTCCCCCTGGTCGCGATCAGGCAACGTGCGGGCCAGGACCTGACGCGATACCAGCAGTGAGAATTCTGTGCTCGTCGCCGTCTCGTTGGATTCACCGTGCAATTCAAATTCAATCCGTGAATCAGGTGGTGTTTACATCTAGGGACTTAACTTAAGTCCCTGTCTTTAGACACTAATTTAGAGTATTAAATATAGACTACTTACAAAACTAATTACATAAATAAAAGCTAATTCACGAGATAAATTTTTTAAGCCTAATTAATCTATAATTAGAGAATGTTTACTGTAGCATCACATAGGCTAATCATGGATTAATTAGGCTCATTAGATTCGTCTCGCAAATTAGTCCAAAATTATGGATGGGTTTTATTAATAGTCTACATTTAATATTTATAATTAATTTTCAAACATCCGATGTGATAGGGACTTAAAAGTTTTAGTCCCATCTAAACAGGGCCTCAAACAAGCGTGCCATGGTGTTTCCAGCAGATGTTGGATGACATATGGCACCATCGTAAAATATTACTCCCTCTGTCCCACAATATAAGAGATCTTGAGTTTTTGTTTGCAACGTTTGATCACTCGTCTTATTCAAATTTTTTTTCAAATATAAAACCCGAAAAGTTGTGCTTAAAGTAAAGTACTGTAGATAATAAAGTAAGTCACAAATAAAATAAATAATAATTTTTAAAAAAATTGAATAAGACGAGTGGTCAAACATTGCAAGCAAAATATTAAAATCTCTTATATTCTGGGACGAATGGAGTACTACCTATAATTGGTATTACTACCTGTAATTAGATGTGATATTACCTATAACTACGAATCTGAATATGCTCATATCTAGATTTAGGTAATATCATATCTAGTTCTACTCTAGGTGGTAGTATCATATATCATATCCAATTTTAGATGGTACTCCGTAATATTTTTCATTTTAGGACGGAGGTTATACGTCATAGTTAAGCAGATTCACATCCACAGGACAAGATGTGAGATCGAGATCACGACGACCCGTAGCTGCCACTGCCAGCATCAAACTTCAAATTTCCAAACGGTGACACACCTAAATACAAAAACGGAGCTCTCCTCTCCTTCTTTCCGCTTTGGATGCTAGGCACAATCTTTTTTTGTTTTCCTGAAACAAAGGCTGAAGAAGCTCTGTCTCATTTCAGTGGTAAAGAAGAGAGCTAAGGTACAATTTTCACCTGTCATATTCCTAACTTCTCAGTACAATCCTCCCTTAAATTCCATTCCATCTCTTCTTTCGTCGATTGTCCTGGTCTCATCCAAACCAGATGTGTCCATGGCTTTTTGTTTGCCTAATGTTCACGGCATGTTTTGGTTTCTACTTGCAACAGAGCCACTCAGTATCAAGTAGGAGTATCAACTAGGCAGTTCTCACAAAAAAGAAATCAACTAGGCGAATACTACTAATGTCCAACGTTTGACTGTCCGAATTTTTTTTATAATTAGTATTTTTATTGTTGTTAGATAATAAACATGATTAATACTTTATACGTGACTTGTCTTTTTAATTTTTTTCATAATTTTTTTAAATAAGACGGGCGGTCAAACGTTGGACACGGAAACCCAGGGTTTGTCTTTTTTTTTTTGGGACGGAGGGAGTACATCTGTCCCAAAGTATAAATATTTCGGTCAGATTCATAACTAAACGTTGTTATATTTTTGGACAGAGGGAATAGGCCATAAAATTATGATATTTTACACTAAGCTGGTTTATCACTAGTACGTGTTGTCAAAAACAAGCAGCAAATGCACAGGCACGGCTCTATCTTTTCTACCTCACCTGTCGTGATATCACACCAATCTGTAGCACTACTAAAAAGGAGCATCGAATAGCCCCAAAAGTAGCCGAAAATATGCTCATGTTAAAAAGGCATAATCTGAAGAATTATGGGACAGGAAAAGCATTAAAGCAAGTGTTCAAAAGCAACCATGCACACATAATATTATCCTTACACAGAATGAATAAAGAGAGTGTATTCTTTTTTTTCCTCCAAAAAAAACATAGAGAAAGTAATCTCAATATAGAACCCAATTAGGCAAGAGAACACATAGTAGAATCCAAAGAACCACTTTGAAGAGTGGCAACTTGCACACTATCATCATTAAGCAGCTTACCACTAACAAGCAAAATATCGTGGAAATGGAGTAAAAAAAATCTGCTACTTGTACAGTGGAAATTTTCGTTTCTAAGGGAATTTTATGGCAAATTGGCTAACAAGTGGGATTATGTCTGTACTTGATCTCGTAGAAAAAAAAATCCTTTGTACAAACCAGATTTACTCAATATTTGATCATCATTGTGAATAAAACAACATCAAAGAACAGTAGAGAGGAAGAACCTTGAGTTGGGGCAGCAGCAATGGATGAAAACGATCATGGTGTTTGAAGAACACTCGAAAATGGATTGGCTATGAAGAACTTGATGAGATGGAAATGGAGTTTGACACGATGACCGGATGGAATTGGCAGTCACGACGATGGCGGCGGGGCGGCGAGTGGCTGTGGCTGCGGTCCGGCGACGAACGGGTGCTGCATCAGCTGCGCGGCGGACGGCCGCTTCGCCGGATTCTTCTGAAGGCAGTAGCCGACGAAGCTTCTGAACTCCGGCGAGACGGCGGCGGGCGGCTCGGGAGGGTCGGAATAGCAGATGGCGCACATGAGCGCGGCCCAGTCACCCTGCTTGCCAAGATTCTCACCGAAGGGGAATTTTCCCATGTAAAACTCTAGGATGCTGAGGCCGAAGCTCCAGATGTCGCCGGCGTAGCCATCGTAGGCGCCGTCGTTGAGGTCGGTGTTGATGCGCTCGGGGCTCATGTAGGCGATGGTGCCGACGGAGGAGTTGCAGGGATCCATGGTCTGGTTGAGGATGCGGCCGACGCCGAAGTCGGCGATCTTGACGCGGCGCGCGGAGTCGATGAGGAGGTTGGACGGCTTGATGTCGCGGTGGACGATGTGGCGGCGGTGGAGGTAGGCGATCCCGGAGAGCACCTGGCGCGCGACGTCGGCGAGGAACCGCTCGTCGGCGATGCGGCGGCCGTCGAGGGACCCGCCGTCCATGTACTCGAGCAGGATCTGCAGCTCGCCGCCGCGCTCGTACATGTCGTGGCACCGCACCACCGCCGGGTGCTCGGCGGTGCGGAGGATGGCGATCTCGCGCGCGATCTGGCGCCGCACCGCGTCGTCGTGGTTGCCGTAGAGCACCTTGAGCGCGTACTCCTTGCCCGTGCCGCGGTGGCGCACCATCCACACCGTCCCCCCTGCCCCGCTCCCCACCCGCCTCACCCGTTCCAGCTCCTCCAGCGGCGGCGGCGGCGCGGCCCCCGCCGACGCCAGTGGGTGCATCGCCCCTCCCGCGGGAGGCGCGGACGTCGTCGTCGTCGCCGCCGGCGGGAGCGGGAGCGGCACGGCGAGCGACGTCGGCGCGTCGCGCTGCGGCATCGGGAGGGTGAGATCCGGGCGACGGCGAGCCCCCCGCCCCGGCATGTCGCCCGCACGCATCGCCGCTCGCGTCGAGAGGAGGAGGAGGCGAGCTCGCCTCTTCTTGGAGAGGAGAGGAGAAGAAGCAAACGGAAATGGATCGAGATCGATCGATGAGATGAGATGCTCTCTGCTTTGAGATGAAAAGAAAAAAAGAAGGGAAAAAAGAAAAGGAAAGAGAAGAAAACGAGATTTGAGAGGGGAAGAAAAAGAAATAATTAACTATTTACCACTCTTACAATTAGTGATAAATGATTTATCATTAGATCTTTATGTCATAGAAACATGATAACTAAATTTTTAATTGTCACATCTTAAAAATGGCGAATAGTTAAATGCTAAAAAAAAAAGCGAAAGAAGAAACAAATAAAGAGAAAACGAGATGCGTGACGAATACTGGCGCCGCGATGATTATCGGGTTATCAACTCTTGGTGGTGAGGTTGATGGGTTTCGGATTACTGGAGATTTCGATGGATGGATGGAGTGGAGATTTCGATGGATGGATGGAGAGAAGCTACAGCGACGTACTGTACCGTATAGTAGTATGTATACAAGGTGTAATTTAGTTTACTATAAATATCCTCTTGATTAGGAGTAATATGATTGTCCTTGCATATGTTTTTATTAGCCGTTTCGTAGCTCCGTTGATTAGCTTTTGTTAATGATGCATTTGCAAAAAGGTTGCTATATGGATAATCAAGTGGAACGGTCTAGATTTTGCACATCGTGTTGCTTGAGATCATTGGAGGGGTACTCTTTTGCACCTGCAAGGTGATGAAGTGAATTCCTTTTGAAACAAAGGAATCTGGAGTAGGATTTGTGTGAATCGAATCAAATTCCTATGAACATGTAAAATTCCTTTGTTTCAAAAGGAGCCAGTGTTGGTTTCGCTCGAGATTCTACCACGGGAATGATTTTAAGAAATTTGTTAATCGTTACACAAGTGATAAAGCTCACTCCCCCATTGGGCTTTGACCATACAATGTCAACTTGTCAAGTCATTGGCAGTTGGCACCCAACCAAGAGCAAACCCAAAGCTGCCAAATGGAGAAATTAGACGAGGACGAATAAAAAGTCAACGACCTTAGTTGATTAGAATGAAGTGACAGCTTATATCGCTCAACTGCAGCAACAGCGACTCATGATAGTACCTGGTTAAACATGCACGGTTGCATTATCTAAGCATGTGAAAACACCATTGCAATAGATAATGCAGTAAGGACAATTGTGTTGCCATCACAAGTTCAGAGCCAAAACATACCAGCGTGCTCGGTCATGCTTCAGGACTTCAGGAGCAGGAAGGATTGAAAATGGTTCAAGCGTTAGCTGCTCCCAGAGGGAGCTTGGGATATGTCAGATGTTTCCAATAGGTGGTTCTCTCTATACACATGATGTGATCCACGAAAGAGGGAATGCTTTAGATAGTAAATTACACATCTGATTCGTTATGCAGAAGTGCAATGGGGTAACAGATAGAACTGCTGATGGGAACGAATTTGTGTATCCACAATTCAGCAGATGGCTGTCCAAAATTCTGTAGTCCTGCAATAACCACATGAAATTGTTGTTACAATAATACAATTCAGTTAAGTGGATAGAGATTTATGGAGCGAATGAATGTAACTACATAAGCAAATCTGGGTCAAAAAGATAGCTATGGTGCAACACCACCAAACTGTATATTACGAATTGAATACAGAAAGAAAGTCAGCTTGATAGGCCAAGATAAATTTGTTAGTAGGTGAGTGCAGAAAGAAGGTCACTTAACTGTACTTCTATACCATTAGTGGATATGTTTAATCCACCAACATGAAAGCAAAAAATTGCCTCCAAAAGAAAATTAAATTTAATGTGCCTACAATGTAGTGGTACTTACCATATTAATGCAAGCTTCAATGTAGATCAATCATAGCTTGGACAATATGTGGCTGCAGGTGGTCCATGTGAATATCTCCATTGATCGCATGCTGAACATTTGTCAATCTTAGTACTGTTTTCTAGAGTACAGAATTTACAGGACCAGGTTGCATATTTGGCCTTCGTGGTTTTAGGTTTAGCTGCGCTACAAACTTCACAGATTGGTGCCAGAGGCTACAAAAGTATTAGAAATGAAGAGAATTAATAATTATAATGTTCAAATAACCTTTCTCAGACAATAAATTTTAGCAAAGCGAGAAAAATGCCTCTGGTAAAGAAACAACACACCAGGAAAAGTGTATTCAGTATGCACAAAATATAAAAGGGGCTACGAAATAAGGTTAAGTTTGCACACGAAAATAAAGAAAAGCAATAGAAAAGGCTCAACATTCAGGCAAAGAAACAACGTCAAAGCCCTTCTCTTGTATGATACATTAATATATGGCATTTCTGTGCCATTTATCAGAAGCTGTCCAAATGGAATTTGGTTTTTCATATGTTTGAATTACATCTATGCAGTAATGTAATACTTTCAGGCATACAAAGCACTTAAGTATGTGGATAATTGGATACCGTTCGAATATTTGTAATTTACAAGTCCACCATAATGAGTGGACTTCAAAAAATATGCTGGAAGGTCAGTATGAAATCTATCCAGTGAAAAATAACCCCATTTAAAAAGGTTTATCTGTTATAGAAACTCCTTGCTTACAAAAGAAAACATACCTGATTTAGAAGTGTGCAAGCAACACACTCCCATAGAGAACTATCTCCTGCATCGGTTGTTATCCTACAAGAAGAGGATCCATTCTGTGCTGCTGTGGGAAATCCCGAAGATGTGCTGGGATTCTCAGAACTGCTAGAAAAGCCATCCTTTGTGCTTTTCCCAAGCTGCGTTGGCAAGTTAGGTGTATCCTCAAGAATAACAACGTCTTCTGAATCATCAATGCCAGATTGATCGTGCGATCCACACCACAAATCGTCATACATTCTCCTTTCAGCAGCCATTGCAGCGGCTTGTATTGGACTAAGAGCACTCATAATATCATTATTTCCACCAAGCTTTCTAGGACCGGATGGCAAAAGAGCTCCATTCCTTGCCCGTTTCTGTGCTGCAGCTAATGTTGCTTGCCTTAAAGATGGTGGCGGTGGGTGTACTGTAAACCCACCTAACCGCCGACCTGTACCATCAAATCCTTGGCCTGATCCAGTGATACCCTTGGAAACAAGTTCTTCACATTCCTGAATGGTTTTTCCATAAATAGCATAAGCTTAAGACAGTAGGCTGAATAAGGATGGGCTATTGAGCTTTCAGTTAAATTCGATGCAATGAACACACCAGTTCTTAAGCTACAACTTTTCCTTGCAGGAATTACTGTCGTAGCACAGGTAAATCTTTTTTGTGCTTCTATGCAAACCACGACTAAGTGCATACTTGCTCTATTGCCCACTCCAATCCCAGCTCCATCAGAAACTAATAGTACAACGCAATATAGCTGGTTCCTACCTCTACAATCTATATAAAGTATATGTATGCACTCTACACATGTGCTGAAGAGACCGATTCCATCTATTTTATGGCTGATTTAGCATGATTTTGATTAAAACATTAACAATCAAGCTGGATGATGTTTGATTCTATAAAATAACCTGAATTACCACTCTGTGGGATATTCTCCAACTTGCGAGGGACTATGGATACTTCCCACTTTCTATGCCAGATAGACCCTAAATGCAGCATCGACACAACTCTGAATTCCCAGTTTTATACAAGAGCACCACATTGAGCAATACATCTACTACTCGTATGTTCGATTGTTCACGACATCTAGAGATGGAATCATAAAAATTAGTTTCAATCACCACACAATCATACAAAATAAAAAATCTATGTACCTTGCGGAGCTCATCCCAGAGCTTGTAGAACTGCGCGTCGTGGGGGCCCCGCGCGATGTGGCAGAGCTCGTGGAGCATGGTGTCGAGCACCTCCTCGTAGGGGATGAAGTCGTAGTCCCGTCCCGCGTGCCGCAGCCGCAGCTTCACCTCGACTCCCCCGCCGACGTTGAGCCCCAGCAGCCTCGGGTTCTTCGGCCTGATCCCCCAACAACCAAATCAGACATCCGCAACAAAACCGATCAATCTCCCCGCAAAAAAAAAAACAAACAAAAAAAACCGATCAATCGATCGGGAACGAGACAGAGATTGACGAGGAGGAGGCTACGGCTAGGGTTCGCGCTTACGAGAACTCGGAGAGGACCTTGACGCGCCACTTGCGGCGGCGCATGATGGGCTGGACCTGCTTGGCGACGCGGTCGAGGAGCGCGCGGGCGGCGGGCTCGTCGGGCTTTCTCTTGAGCGCGCGGATCTCCCACACCTTGTGCAGGTCCCCGACCTCCATCGCCGCCACCGCCGCCGCCGCCGCCGCCGCCGGCGGTTGAATCGGATTGGGGCGCGTGCGGCGGAGGAGGAAGAGGAATCGATGGGGTTCGCCGCCTTCGAGAGGAAGGAGGAGGAATTTTGGGGGGCGAGTTTTTGAAACCGGTGGGTGCAAAAGCAAAGTGGAGCGACTTTTCGGTTTTCTCACGACGAAAGGAAAGGACTCAGAATTTGATTCTGGCATTTAATCCTTCCGTTCCCGAATATAATTTTGGTTGGATGTAACCTAAATCTAACGAAAATTAAGGGAGTATCTGTTTTTAGTCTTAGAGTAGTTTTTATGTTTTTTTAGTTGAAAATATTAATATTTTTTAAAAAAATTTATTAAGGTTATAGAAGTTTGAGGTAGAAAAGGGTTAAAGTGATTTATGATATGAAATGAAGGCTCCATCAAAATATAAGAGATTTTAACAAGTGTGGTATATTTATTTAGAGTAAATTTCATAAAAAAACCATGTTTTATGTTAAAGTTGTGGAAAACCACATGTATTATAACGTGTGGTATATAATCATACTTTTCATGGTCTTAATGTTTCACAAAACTCCATCTTTATCAAAATTAAAACCTTGATAAAGTTTAGCATATCTTAAATAAATTTTTGAAAGTAGTAAAGAATTAACCTATCAATCTTAGTCAATTACTAAAAAAATTAAAAATTTTATATACACTATGTTTTTAAATTATAAGTAAATTCACGCTCAAAATGCATAAGTGTGAAGTTCTGTAAAACTTTAAAACCATTAAGTAATAATACTTAAGTTAGGTGCCACATATCATGATACGTGTGATCTTTTACAACTTTAATCATAAAAATGAGGTTTTCTTAAATTTACTCATATATTTATTAATTTTATTTTTAAAATGTTTAATTTATTTCTACAATCATGAAATATTTTTCAACTAATCTGTAAAAGTAACATGTAGAATTCACAAAAATGTGTTTTGGAAACTGCTAAAATTTGATCTTTCCTGAAGTCCGAACATTGCAGTGCTGATATTACTGCGCATAGTTTGCCAAGTCACTGCCCTGCTGGGACGCTGGATAGATATATGCTCGCCGTGATTTCACCAAATCGATCGATCAAAACGACGCGCGGAATTTTGCCTTTGTTTTGACTAGCGACATCTCATGTTTGTAAGCTGTAAGCCTGTAATAAGATTGTGAATAATGGTTTTATGGTTCAATTTTTTCTATTCGATTTTTCTTTAGGTTGATTTTAGTTTGATCTTCAAAGATTGAATTTTAGGTGGGGTGGGTTTCTAAGTGTGAACTACATTAATTGGAGAGGAGGAGGATGCTAGTAGAGATTTTGTTTCAACTAATACTTCTGTTTTCTGGAAGTGATGGATGATCGTCCCCTGTTGCGAATGGCCTCATAACATTTTATAAAATGTAATTATACAATTCGTCATAATAGCCGTCCTAGCTCAGTCGGTAGAGCGCACGGCTTTTAACCGTGTGGTCGTGGGTTCGAATCCCACGGACGGCGTTGGACATTTATTTTTTTACATTTCTGAGTGATTTACATTCATTTTCACTTTTGCATGTTCTGAAATTTACACGGTGTACTACCTCCTGCTCATGGCAGCCAACTCCATGGGTGTGTGCAGTGGATCAGGGCCCCTGCTCAACCTGACCGTCGCTGGAGCAGACCAGCTGGAAGACGTTCAAGATCGAGAACGATTTCACGCTGGAGGAGGAGAGGATCTGAGAAGAGTGATTAGCAGCAATATATGTTGTGCTGTCTTGCTTAATTACCTTGTAATTAAAAAATATATCTTGTACTAATAATTTTACTATACTGGTATACAGTGGTCTGAGTATTTGTGCGACTAAATTTAATATTGTATTTGTGCGACTAAATTTAATATTGTGTAATACTGTAATAGGTTCAACTTCAAACTTAATTAATAAATTTATTCAATTTAAGGATGCTATGATATGTTTAGGAACTTAGCTTTCGAAACATTTTTTTAAGGGAAAAAGGATCGGATTCACATAATAAATCTAGACCAACATTCTTCTCACATGGAATGGTTGATGCATGGGCATCCTATGTGTACCTATGCTAAACCAACCTATATATTCAACATGCCTTAGGCCGAGTTATTTTCAGCTATTTGGCTGACTACACGTGAAATGAGCTGGCCCATTAGTTTATGATCAATTGGGTATTAATTCTTATATATGAAGTAGCAAAATTGATTTATTTTTTTATAAAGAAACTTTTAATATATAAAGTTTTCTAAAAACACATCATTTAATAGTTTAGAAAGCGACTCATGATTAACGAAGAAGTCGCTCTCCCTTTAAGTAGATTAAAACGGGGCTTTACTCAATGTCTCTCACTCATTGTCACTTCCAACAAAAACTCCCTCTGTCCAAGTAAACCCAACTTATGGTTAATGTGGGCAACTTATATAGTAGGAAAAAAAGAACCTTTTTAGATGGAGGGATTAACTATTTCTAAATCCTATCATATAATATAAATTAATATCTTTGTGATTTTTTTATGTAGAGTACCCTAATGTTGGTATAGCAAAAGGTTCATGATAGATATGCTTGGTGTCACTACTACAGAAAAGATATTATGTACCGGTTAGCAAACCCCCTTCCCTGCCGGTTTTCTCAACCGGCACAAGGGAGGTAGCAAAAAGGTGTCGGTTCCTTAAAACCGGCACCTTTTAGGTTCGACGAATAAAAAAAAAGCCGGCTCAATGCGTCGGCTCGATCGAGCCGAGCAGTCCCTCCTCCCACATCCGCAAGAAAAAAAGTTTGGCAACATTCATCTCACAAAATAAATCACTGAATCAAACATTTGAATCAGGCAACATTCATCTCACAAAAAAAAATTGGCAACATTCATCTCACATCAAACATTCATCGATCTCACATCAAACATCATTGAATCAGCATTCATCTCACATCAAACATCATTGAATCATCATTCATCTCACATCAAACATCATCGCAAGCGAAGGAGATGGTTGGGGGTGCTTACCGTCGCCCGTGGGGAGCCCGCCGCCGTCATTGCCGCTGCCTACCCCCCGCCGGATCTGGCGGAGGGGAGGGCTCCGCCGCCGCCGCTGTCTCCCCTCCCGCCGGATCTGGCGGAGGGGAGGTCGCCGCTGCCGCCCGTGAGCCACGCCACCGCCGGATCTGTTGCCGCCCCTCCCGCTATCGCCGACTCCCCTCTGGGCCAGATCCGGCCACTCCGCCTGCCGTCGACGCCGGAAACAACCACCTCGCCCGCCGCTGACGCCGAAACCAACCACCCTGCCCGCCGTTGACGCCTCCCCTCCTGTCGCTGCCGCCTCCCCTCCTACCGGATCTGGCGGAGTGGAGGGCGTGGTCGCCGCTGCCGCCTCCGCCGGCGAGCAGAGAAGGGAGGAAGAGAGAGAAGAGAGCGAGAGAAGGGAGGGAGAGAGAGAGAGCGAGAGAGAGAAGGGAGCGAGAGAAGGAAACCTTATCTCCTCTCGCGTCACCTCGTCGTGGTGGGGCCCGCTGGCTCGGCTTGTGTTATATGGGTGTCGGCACCTATAATATCTTATATTTACAACATATATCTTATATACAAGATTGACCCTCTACATCCTAAAACTCAACGTACAAACATATCACATCACAGTACATTATCAATATTATATCTTAAAGCTCATATAAACATTATATCATTGATTAGCAATTGTTATGTCTTAAAGCTTACTATGTAAATATATCACCACAATTCATTACATTCTGAGCTCAACAAACACAAACATTCAGTAGCCTTTCTGTCTTTCTTTTCCCAGCTAGATATTGTACTTATGCCTTCTTAATCTTGTGAGAGAAATTATCCCTTCTTAAGTAATCTTCACACTATATATCGTATCTCTCCAGTATTATATTAATTATACTAGTAACACGGACAAACAGTGACAGATCCAAGGCTCCATCCAACCAAACCAAAGCAGCATCTCTCCCTGACGACGGCCGGACTCGCTGTCAGCGTAGACAGTGCCATGTCTCCCGGACCAACCGTGTCACGTCAACGCCAAGTCAACATAGTATAAGACCCCGGGAATAACTGAATTTTACTAATTGAATAATCTTGCAAGGTGAAATTGATTAGTCTGCTAGTCTCACGATAATGGGGAACATCCCAGCTAAGGCCTGTTTGGCTGTTTGTGTTTCGATGTGGAATAGGCCCCAAACCCGTCCTTCCGTGGAATGCAGCCCACGCCTGGATCAATTCCCACATCCAGCCCAAATATGCATTTAGCTGTTCGTGTATTGCTGTGTATTGCGGCTCGATCCATGCCGACCCACGGGTGAGAGAATAATCCTCACCCGAGGCCTGGAACTCTCTCGCGTGCACGCCGCAGCTCGCGACTCCTCCTGCACCGCCGCCGCTTTCTCCAAGCCGTCCACCGCCTCCTCGCCGTCCTGCTGCGCCACCGGCGCCGCCGCCTTCTCCGAGCTGTCCACCACGTCCTCGCCATCCTCCTGTGCCGCCGGCGCCACTACCTTCTCCGAGCCATCCACCGCCTCCTCATCGGCCGTCGTCGTCTGTCGCCTCATCGCCGGCGTCGCCCCGGCAGCCTACTCGCTTGATCAAGGTTCAAAGTCCTCTCCTCCTTCTCCTCCTTCATCTCATCTCATTTTCTTTGCCCATCTTCTTTCATCCACTTGTTTTGCTGCTAGGACCTTCAAGATCCGGAAAGTACAGCCATCCTGCTAGGGTTTGACGATCTGCAAGAGAAATATTGGAGACAAGGTATGTCAATGCTTAGAGATATGCAAAGTACAGCCATCCTGAAGGGAACAAAACACGGTAGGGAATCACTAGCTTCGATCTTGTGTCAGTGCAAAGAGATTTTGAGCAGAAATAAACTACAACTAGTAGTTCTCCTCTACACACTGCTGAGACTGTACCACCACCACTGCATGATATACAAATGTATAGCAAGCAGCACACATTACAGTATTTTACACTAACACCATTGAATGCACAAAAGAGCATACTAGCATAGTAGTATAGCACTTCTATTAAACAAAGTGAGTGTTCAGTTCATACACATGCATAATTAGCTTTAATTATTTATGAACATATATAGTGTTGAAACTAAAAACTAGAGTGCTGAAACTTTTTT